ACCCTCAGCACAATCCATAAAATGCTGAAACAATCTTGTACCCAGGCGAAGAGATTTATCTTCACCTTATTAACCGAGAAAGAGACATAATAAATAGCTATATTTCTTTATGAAAGCATGTAAATATTGTGCATCTTTAATTTCTGTGACATATGGGGAAATAATAAAATTTAAGAAATAACATAGTTGAAATGACTTGCTGTCTTTTTTAGTTTTATTTGTTTGTAGGTCAAGCAGTATGGGTTTTCAATGGCCTTAGTGATACCACAGGCCTATCTAGACGTAAACGTAATGGCTTACGCCGATATAGCACACAACAAAATGTTGTGAGATTTAATGGGGTTTACACAAATATGCATGCAATACAAAAAATGGAAATATAATTGAAAAATGTTTAGCAAGTCTATAACTTAGTCATTCCCTTTCAAAAATGCTGCACTGAGGAATGCCTCTTTGTATGACCGCTGTGAATGTGTGTGACACGCTCGAGAAACGTGCAAGGTGAGAGGTGTGTGTCTCAATTCAATTCAATTCAATTCAAATGAGCTTTATTGGCATGAATGTGTAAAATAGCACAATATTGCCAAAGCAATAGACATTGACATATATGTAGATAAATAAAAGTGAATAATAATAATAAAAAATATAATTATTTTTTATCCATCTGAGGTTCCACGTTGTCCTCATTTCATGGCTTGATCAATTTTTTTTTCACATTTGGGCATTTTTTTCTCAGTATATATGAGAGTTTCTGATATGGATTCAAATTCAGGGTGTATTTGGGAAATGCTAGCAAGTGCAGGTCTGTCTCTACCTGTCCCCTGTCACACTAGGAGCAGCAGAGTCTCTCCTGTTGTGGTAGCCTCTGTCTGTGCCAACCCTTTTCTGTGGCCAGGCTGTGTTCACTCATTCTGTGTGTTGTAAACATTTTTCTTAGTTTAGGACATTGTATTGTACTCGGGTAATTTGCCAGTGTGAATTCTCTTTTTAGGGTAAGATAACATTGTAATTTACTTTGTGTTTTGGTTGTTTCTTTCCAGTATTCAATATATTTTTCTTTCTGCTTTTTGATAATTTGGTTTGGTCTGCTTGAGTTGGCGTTGCTGTCCTGAGGCTGTTGGGGACTTGTTACTGCAGAGCCTCGGGATCAGCTGTCTGAGTGGACTCTATTCTGGTTTCAACTCCTGGTATGTTAGGGCTTTGTGTGATGATATGTCTGGGATTTAACTGATTAAGTGATTGTAAAATCATGTAATGGATCTTTTCTGTATGTTTATTAAATCAAGAGAGCACTGCTCTGCACAGGTTATTTGGTGTTTTTCTCTGCCCCTGTAAGATGCTCTTAGTTTGTCCCATTTGTCAAATTACGTTTTGGCACGAATGTCTCACTGTCTCCCGAATATGACACACCAGTTTTTTAACATTTAAAAAACATTGTGACGTTACAATCTTGCTTCAATGTTTGTTATAAAGTTATCTACAAGAACGTATTATTCTGTGTAAAGGGCATATTGTGATAATTCGGCTTTATAATATGTGTAGCCTAAACAAGGTAAGTTAGCCTATTTTGGCAGTAAATGCGTTGGAGGGGTGCTCTCACGCTGAAGTCTGGAAATTGACTGAACAACAGCCTGAGGTTTATTGATGAAACGATGTTTAACTTCTACAGTCACTAAAACTAAAGCCTTAAGGACTGTTCCAGCGACCGCTATCCCAGCAAGCTACACTGAGCAAACGTTATCTTTAGGCTAACTGGACTGAATACACCGCTAACTTACCTCTTATTTTCTTTCACTAAAAGCTTAAACTTTAGCTGTGAAACTTGATAGATGACTTACGAACTCCACTAGCACGGTGAATAAGGGCATCTTGCTATCCAAGCTACGTGTCGTCCTTCTCCATCTGTTGAAACGCAATGTTTTTTGAATGAAAGTCAACGTCATGACACTTACCGAGTCGTTTCTTCTTCGTCAAGGGTGTGTTTGGCTCTCCTCCTGCTCTCTCGCTCTCTCTCTCTCCCTGAGAATTTGTAACCTTTATTCAGACGGGACTTTTCTCCAGAGGCTGGACAAACTAAACTCACCGCTCTCCATTAACCCCTGTGCTTCTGTTGGTGTGGAGAACCTCAATTCATTAGGAACTTTTAAATGCCATAATAACATAATAATTTACAGTGTGTGTTCGTGTATACACACACACTAGACACACACAGACACACATAATTGTTTAATTTTTTAGCCCTGTGGCCCAGCAATAGCTGCTCACCTCTTGCTGAGAACCATCTGTCTGTCTGTAACCTTACCTGGATAAAAAAAAAGAAAAGAGAGAGAGAGAGAGACCTAAACATAGCCACACAAGGAAATCAGGTTAAGCTATTTAATACAGAACAAAAATGTCTCATCCTGTGCCTCACTTAATAGGCTACAAAATATTCAGATAATGAGAGAGGACGGTCACCAATGTACCATGTGCTTATATATTATTGCATAAGCAAGTGTTGTGAATTCTTGTCAAAATAAGCATAAATTATATCACTATTCTGTGTTATATTGTATAAAGATTTATTAATTGTTATTATTATTATATTGTATTAAGATTTCTCTCAGATATGACTCGCCAGTGCAAGATTCACAGTGAATACTTCTACATCACTCTTGTCAACTTAGTCCATAGCAAAAACAAACACATAATTGACTTTATCTAATTGGTTATTTTGGGGGGAAAGCAGTGTGTGTGTGTGTGTGTGCGTGTGTGTGTGCGTGTGTGTGTGTGTGTGTGTGTGTGTGTGTGTGTGTGTGTGTGTGTGTGTGTGTGTGTGTGTGTGTGTGTGTGTGTGTGTGTGTGTGTGTGTGTGTGTGTGTGTGTGTGTGTGTGTGTGTGTGTGTGTGTGTGTGTGTGTGTGTGTCCCATACCCACTCAACCCACTCTAGGACTACATGAAAGCCAGAAATATAAATGCAAACTTGTCCAGATTAGTAAAAAATGTTATTTAATATGGCTTAAATTCAAAGCAACATACTAATTACATGATTTTAAAGTAGCAGCCAAAGCCCAAACATGTCTGAGCTAAAGCTATATATCACGAATACTGTAGCATCTTGAGAATGAACGTACGTTTTGGCTCCCTGTTAGGAAAGCCCTTGTAACACTGAGGGGCTGCACAGTAAAGTTACATCTGCCAAGCAGTGTACTAGGCCTATATGTGTGTTGATTCCGGCTCCTTTGCCATTTGCTATTGGCTATCAAGCTCACAGTTTCACATGAACCAAAAGCATTAATTAGCTGCTCAGTTATATTTACAAATGCACCCTCATTTTTGCTTTTAATTGCCATTCAAGTTTCCCTGTGCCATTAAGTATTCCACAGATTCTAATTTTACACAGATTCTACATTACTGTATACTCTATAATGGTTGTGTGGAGCAATACAGTTCAATGGAAAATAATCCACAATGGAATATTGTCATTACCTGTACTTTATTTATCTATTTTTATAAATAATCAGTTTCAGGGAATGGGTGCAAACATATTTACCACTTTTGCTGTACTCTGATAGAAATAAAAACATCCTGCTCTTAATTCCCATGATGCTAAGTAGCTGTTAAAAGCAATATTTGAGCTTTGGAAGAATCTGGGTTAATGCATTCTCAGTCAGGCAATGGAAGAAAAATGGAGTGGTGAAGGAGGGACATCAAAAGCAATTTTAAATGTTTATACCCAAACGCATCAGGTCAAATTATGAAATGCATTTTAAAATTATGCTATCTGCTATTTGAAAAAGACTGTTTTTTGTTTTGTTGTTTTAGAATGATTAGAGCAGATGTATCCCATGATTACTGGGAAAACAGGCACGGCAGAGGATATTGCCACCTTAACTTACTCACAATAAAATACCATTTTATTAAACCCTTTTACATTTATAATTTCCGAAAGCTTGAGTGCTGGCTACAACTGTTCATTACTTACCAGTTACTAAACATCTGTTTGGCCTGTATTGGAGAGTCTTACTAGAAAAAGGCACTGTGAGTTACTGAGCTTTATTTTTTGTGACAGAAGCTACTTCTGACTTAAATAGGTTTCCAAGTTTAAATTTTACCCAAACTATCTATTCCGTACATTCCCTCCCTGCCTTTGCATATCCATTATATGGTATTTTGAGCCTGCATGTGCATTTATTACTGTTTGTATTTATTGTTTATTTTATGCGCTTTATCTAAAGCCAGTTGCCTTTGAATTTGAATTGTATTCTTACAGTCGGCCTGTTAAAATAAATACAAAATGGATTTCTCAGAAAACATAAAACACTATAATTGGACAGAAAGAAGCTTTGTAAACTTCAATATTAATGGAAATCGTTGAACTTCACAGGACATAACATATGGTCACTTCTCCAACTAGGTTGCATTTTAATGTGTATCAACAGCACCACCTAAAGGTCTCACGTTACATTTTTTTTTTTTTTTTAATATAGATCATACTTCTTTATTAATACATAGGCTATGGGAAGTTGACATGAAATACCAGGGTTAGATGACATGTCCTGTGGTACATATCCTGTGGTGTGAAATAGCCTACTATAGGCTATTCAGTTTAAAATTGTATGCCTATCTTTATATGCTGCATTTATAACCTCATATTAATGGATACTAGCCTATAGTTTACAGCCAGTTTGTAAATGACCGACGAAGGCAAAATGTAATTATATATAACTTACAATCATAGACTTAGAATCGCCCAATTCTAATCAATCAATAATGGATGCTGCTGTAATTTTAAAACGCTTATAATTATATGAATATGCTATTTATAAACGTTTTAAAATTACAGCACCATCTATAATGTCGATCATAATTTCTACATAAATAATTTAAATAAACTATATAAACTTCTTCGTTTCAGTAAAAAAATAAAAATACGAAAAAATCATATGCGGTCCAAACTCTTATTTTGAAACGCAAAAGCTGGATATTACCGGAAATGATCCAGGTGGTTTCGTTTCGTGGATTCCTCTTTTGTTACTAAGCAACAAAAAGAGACATATCTCAAATCACATGTTGAAATTGAATTTTAAATACAAGTTTGGAATCTCTGTATTAAAAGTTACGCACAAGTGTGATCTGGTTAACGTTACCTGCATATGACGGATTTTTTACATTTGACAAAGTTAAGGAGAGTTTACAGATGGTAAAACTACCACAGCATCTCATAAAATGTAAATAATCGGGCCGCTGGAGATAGAAACGTTAAACGTTATTCGCGTCATGTCGTAAGTACCGTATTTTTAATTTATACGTTTTTGCAGTCTATGGCATAGACATCATATATGGTACGTCCTCGTAGAAATCTTAACCAGCTGGCCAGAGCCGTTAAAAAACATATTTAACGGCTCTGCAGCTGGCCATCTCCAAGGTCACGTGTCAATGAACGCACGAGCGCAAAGCACGAACCAATGAATAAAGAATACATATATTATATATATAAGGGTACTATGTATATATATAGTACTAGTTCACCCCCAAAATGAGAGTTTTGCCATTATTTACTCATTTCACTTGAATGGAGATTGTAATTTAAGATTGTTCATCACATTACTCTATCGTGTCTTTGTTTCATTTATCTTATTGTATTATTATTGTACAGTTCTGACGATGTGTCGAAGAGTGCAGGAAAAGCGTGGGGGGAAAACATGAGCCCCGGTGAAGAGGTGGCGGCTGCATCCAAACATTATTTTATAGGGAAGAAAGAAAACATCATTCAAACCAGACGAGTGCTGCTGTCAGTTGGTGGAAGAGATGTTCTAGTGATGCACCACCAGGGGGGCTTCTATGCTATTGATGCTCGTTGTTACCGTACGATTCTGCATGCTACCATCAAATTTGACAATTATTGTTAGGGATTATATTTCTTATGAACTTTAAATCTTTAAATCTTTAAATTGCCCTTGTAAACTTTAAATCCAATCAATTCAGGATGGATAAAATCAAGCCCCACCCTATGTTATTCTAATCACATTTAATTTCCTTTTTCTTAATAACCTCACCATACTCAAATAGTGTTTAATTATTGCATTTGCCCCTAATTTATACAGATTGGAGGCCATGTGCATCCTTCTGACCTTATTAATATTCAACATTATCAGACATATGTTTACATTACACTGCTTTTATGCTTTGCATTATGCTTTTATTTTGTTGCAGACTCTGGAGGTCCACTTCATAAAGGAGATATAGAGGTGGGTTGTTGTGAAGTCTTTCATGAGGCAAATTCTCTTCTAATTTATGTCTGTATGCCAGAAATCTGCTTCAACTTTAAATGTTCCCTTTTTCCACTAAAGGACTTTGATGGACGGCCATGCATAGTGTGCCCATGGCATAAGTATAAAATTACATTAGATGAGGGTGAGGGTCTTTATCAGGCAGTGGACCCTTATGTGAAGCCTCTGAAACCAACTTGGCGCTCTAAAGGCATTAAACAAAGAATCCACACGGTGACAGAGTCTAGCGGAGACATGTTCCTCACCTTAAACGACTCACCAGGGGCCATTGACTCTGATTACTATCAAACTGAGAAATATAGAGACACTATCTTGAAAGAAGGGCTGAAGAAAACAAATTGACCTCACAGGACGAGACATCTGGGTGAGTGTCTGCTAATGCTCTGATCAGCAGAAGGCTTTGAATGTGTTCTGCTGAGACTGTTTCCATCTATCACTGCTGGAAAATCAGTTAAGTTGTTTTAAGATGGTCTATGCTGTCCATTAGCTCAAGTTGACTGCGGTCAGCATATTTCAAAAACCAGCTTAACCACCTTGGTAGTCTACCAACTAGTTACTGTGTCCCAGAACACAGCTAAGAGTTCTAATTCTAAAAAAATAAATGGAAAAAAGAAAAATCTCGGAAACCCTCAATTTGTTGTTTCCCTCTCAAACGTGATTGGATAGTGCAGGCATCACTGATTGGGACAGCCTATCAGCAATAACATTCAGCTTTCCGCCAAAGTCAACTCCATGGTCAGATTTAGATAAGTGACTAAATCTGCGACTTCACTTTTTAAATGACAATATCCGGACTACTGTTGTCAGTGATATAAATATTAGAAATGAACATGATTTCTTAATGGCTAGTGACATATCAGGGAAAATTTCTGATTAATTGAAATACATTTCTTGCATACAGCTCCTTTAACATTTTTCATGTTTCATGTAGGATGTTTCTGTACATTAATGTAAGCAGTGTGGCAGTAGTAATGCAATATTTAGAAATTGTACTCTTACTCTTGATACTCAAATACTTTTAAAAACAAGTACTTCAGTACTTTTACTTAAGTAGACATCTGACTGTAGTACTTTTAATTTTACTTGAGTAAAATTTAGCAAGGGGTATCTATACTTTTACTCAAGTAATAAAGCCGTGTACTCTGTCCGCCTCTGTTTCTAATATTTATAGATTTGTGAACTGGAGGGCAGTCCATGAGCTAGTGGGGGTTCAATGTAAAGTTTGTGATGACAGTTAGTGAACTAAAGGTGGGGGGAGTCAGGGGGTCAAAGGTGACGTGGAAAAATGAGGTACCAATGATGGAGGTGACCGTGGGTGTTTGAATGAGAGAAAGGGGTTCGTAATTGTGTAAATAGGAGTGGTTAAGTTAGCCTTGGGGGTGGCAGAGTGCTTTCGCGTAGATAACATTCCACAGCAACACCATTTACCAAAAAAAGATCTGTAGTTAAATTACAAAATAGGATAAAAAGCAGAAATTAATTTCTTTTCTATTAAGCAGGTTTGATGAAAGGAAATCCCAGTGAATAGATGCACATTATACTCAGTAATACTCAGTAGCTAATGCTAACAACAACTTAAACACACCTTAAATAAATGCAAACTTTTTTGTTTAACCCAAAGACTGCAAGTTTAAACAAACTTTTCTTCAATCCTCAGGGGGTAACGCATGTAAAACGACACCACTGCAATTTAGGCTTCACTCTTCAGGGGTCGAAGGCTTCAAGGATGACTGGAACCTTTTCATATACTCCTGCCACTCATACAGAAGCTTGCTGTGAAGACCAGGTTTCCACAACAAGTGACCTGTTTAAATGTCTGAATTACCAAGGCAATACTATAAGTGTGTGTACAGATGGACACAAAAGTTGTTTTTTTTTTTTTAAAAGACAGATCATCAGTTCTGATTTCGAATGTGATACTTCATTCCTTAAAATGAGTACATATGCCCTAAATACACTGCTCTAAATATCTTCATGAGTGTTTGAATTCATTGTTGAAAAATAAAATTGTGTTCTTTCATTAACCTGAGAAGTGATGGTTTTGAAAGCAAAATTCTAGTATTTGTGAAGTGATTTTGTTTACATTCTTTGCTATTACCTTTTTTTAGATTTGATATTGCAAATTTTTGTTTTAAAAAGTGGGTGTTTGGAGAGAAGAAAAAGTCTTGTTTAAATAAACCATCTTGCTTTAAAATCTTGTTTCAAGTTTTAAATGAAACCGATATAACAAATAATTATTTGTCATGGTTCAAATGAATAAATATAGTCTTTAACCTTTGACTGAATCCATATCTGTCTTGATCTATAAGCCCCAAGTAATGGCAATCAGTTCCCAGCTGTACTTAAGAAAACAATCTGCTGATTCCAACGAAGTTTCAAGACAAAATTTCCATTTTCACTCACCAAACTATGCTGTCTTTATTTTCAAATAAACATGTTGGTAATCTACAAAGTTTAAAGTGCTGATAGTTCACCCAAAAATGAAAATTACCCCATACTCACCCTTAAGTCATCCTAGGTGTATATGACATTCTTTTTATTGTTATAGTTATATATAGTTATAGTTATAAAAACATGTCCTGGCTCTTCTTAGCTTTACAAGTCCATAAAAGTGCATCCATCCATGTTAAAAGTGCTCCATATCGCAGTCTCATCCCAAGACGTCATATAACTGACGTTTTGGGACGTCTTTTGACCATACGTCAATATCCGCCTTTTTAGGGCCCCCTTTAACGTCGGTAGATGAGGTTATCGGATCCTAACTCTACCCCAGACCTACCCCGTCACCTAACTGACGTTAAAGGTAAAGCGTTAGTTGTATAACGGCCCGGGATCGCCATCTACCGGCGTTTAAGGGGGCCCTAAAAAGGCGGATATTAACGTGTGGTTAAAAGATGTCCCAAGACGTCAGTTATATGACGATCTGGCGGTTCAAACAAACAGGGCTGGGCAACAAACTCGATCTCCTCCGACATTTCTCTTTAAAAATTGTCATTCTAGACTTCTAATTCGTGACAGGTGTTTTATTTTGCTCTAGGCCTATGCCCTGCGCTTCCGTGTTCGTCATTACAGCATGCGTCAAGAGTTACTCTTTCGCCATAAATCGATGCGCACGTCTGTTTATTTTAGTCGATAAAGTTTTAAATATGGATATTTTTCTTACACTAATGCATCGCTTCACTTCAGAAGGCCTTTATTAACCCCCTTGAGCTGTGTGGAGTGCTTCTATGATGGATAGATGCACTTTGATGGACAAAACAGAAATGGCCATTCAATGCCATTATAAAGCCTGGAAGAGCCAGGACATTTTTTTTTTTTTTTTTCATTTAACTTTGAATGTATTAGTCTGAAAGAAGAATGCTATATACACCTATGATGACTTGAGGATGAGTAAATCATGGGGTAATTTTCATTTTTGGGTGAACTATCCCTTTAAATGACTGAGAGGATGGATCAGAAAAATTAGGTTACAGTTGGCATAAAATGTTTATCGCTTTACAGTTGAGTATCCACAACACAGTATATAAAATGAAATCTGTATGATTTCCACATCTGTTATACAGTTAGTATAATGAATGGATGCTCTGTTTTACTTTCACCAGGTCTGCCAGTTATGTAACTCAACCTATCACAGCTCAACTCTAGTTTTTCATGCACGTGCTTTCTCTGCAAGGGGTATTTGTATGAATGCGTTTGTGTGGTGCCTGGAAGAAAGAGAGCAGGAATGTATGTATATTCCAGACTTGAAACTTTGTATTGGCTCCATCAAAGGTGTTCATGCATAGATAAATCAGAATATCATTTTTGTTTTCTAAACTTGTGGGTTATTCTAGGCCTACACATGTATTTGTATTTATATGCCCAATTAAAAACGAATTGTCAGTTGCATATATTCACACTATATTCATGCTGATGAATATATACGATTGTTACAATAATGTAGGAATGTGGAGGAATGTGTCTTGATACCTAAATAATAAGTAAAGCACAGACCTTCCTGTGTAATATAATGTAGGCTATGAAAAGTAAAGTAAGGAATATCTGTATCTATCTTTTACTGTAATTTAATTACAGTTTTCTGATGTAATTGCATTTAATAGGCTACTATATAGACTATAGAACAATTTTCTATAAAATCATATGTATAATGTCATGTACCTATGTTGTCTTTGTACTTAATAACAAATATTATTACACTGTAACAAGGACACAAATAAAGTGTAACCTAGAAACGTTCGGAGTTGCAAAAAATGTTATGCAACCTTGCAAAGAGCTGTGGGGTCTGCCCACTTCATGTTATGATGGTTATGAAGACTGATGTTTAGGTGCGTGGACTTCCCCCTATAGGCAGACACAGAGATGAAAAAAAATCAACGCGCCTTTAAATAGAACCATATTGTCATTCTGACTGCTGTTATCTGACTGCAACAGTGGCGACGGACCCGCTCGTCGCCTCGCCGAACAAATACACTTTATATTCTTTCATACAGTTGGCTATATTCTAGTAAACATGCCTAGCAAGAGAAAGAAGAACAAGCGCCGAATGAGAAGAGTGGTGAGTACATTACTTTCACGCTTGTTTTTAATCAGGGTCCTGCAATCAATATGATGTAATTTTTATTGCATCCAAACTGATTCCTACTTAGTTTTCTAGTTTGATCTGTCAGCTTTACTTGGGCTTTAAATAGTTATTGAAATTAACGATAGCATAATGATTTTTTTTAGAGTTTCTCCAATTGTGTTTATTTAGCATATCATTACGATCTTTGCCTACTAGTTAAATTTAGTAAGATGACGCCATAGGTTTATAATTTTCTGTTCTCAGACCATTGTTTCATGCCCATATGAAGAATTAGTTTATTTTTATTTCTGTTAGTTAGAATAAGTTGATTTAACTATCGATAAATACAACACATCGAGCAGGGGTATATTTTATAGTAGGGGGTGTGTCCCATATAGGAACCAGTAGAGATGCAGCGGAATTACTCACATCCCACTTTCTACTATCTCTAATTACAGATAGATAGATAGATAGATAGATAGATAGATAGATAGATAGATAGATAGATAGATAGATAGATAGATAGATAGATAGATAGATAGATAGATAGATAGATAGATAGATAGATAGATAGATAGATAGATAGATAGATAGATAGATAGATAGATAGATAGATAGATAGATAGAATCTATCACAGATATTACAATTAATACAACTGATATTACAATTAATATATGTTTCACATATAGAGTGTTATTGATTTATTCTGTGGTATTTTTTCTTTGTTCTGTGCAACAAACCAAATCATGCCTTTTGACCCCACCCCCAAAAACGTATTAGGACTTTGTTGATTTTGGCATATCCCTTGGGCCAGTCTGATTCCAAACATGGTTGAAGGCACATTCCTTCATTTTTTTAAATTTTTTTTTATTTATTTTTTTATTTTATTTTATTTTTTTGCACCGATTGGTTTTTGGACAGTTTTTAGCTGTCTCCTTATAAATCCATTGATTTTTAATAAGTGTATTTTTGAAAGGTGATTTATTCGGTTATTGCAAAGGAATGTTGCACAATATTGACCATGCCTCACCACTCTAAGACATATTTGTCCTCTGTGGCCAGTGACATAATGAAATACACACAGTTTGTGCATCTGAACACTGAACTCTTTGTTTGAATTTTACAACAGTTTTTTTTAAGGGCATATCATTAAAATCTCACCCTTTTCATTCTGCTTAGCTAAACAACCGTTTAATGCTCAGTTGCTGTCCCAAAACCCTGGCATGCAGTCATATCAACAGAACTGCCTTTCACACAAGTACAGAAATAGAGGGGTATCTATTATCTCTCTAGCTGTTAAGCCCCCGCCCCATGAGATATAGCTGGTCCTAAACAGGGCACATTTCACCGTCTCTAATCATGCAGTCAAATAAGAAATGGTGAGTACTGGGGGGTGAGTGCATTCTAACACGGTTTGATGCTCACCAGCACTTCAAAACAGAAGAAACATCATTTTTAAAGTCAGCTGCCAGAGCCAATTAACTCTAATTAACAGCTGTAGGCTCATGCAAATCTTTCAAGTTTTTTTTTTTTTTTTTTTTTTTTTTTTTTTGGGAAATGTGCTTTTTCCCTAACACCTCCTCTGTTCCTCCAAACGCCAGACTGTTTATTCTGTTATGCTGGCCTGTTTCATGAATTTGGGCCCAAGTTTTGCCTAATTTGGCTTTGTCAGTGCTGATGCTGATCTTCACACATGGTTGCATAATTTGGCCTTAACTGTGCTGGCAACTGTACACCCCATACATGCACAATGGGAGCTTAAATTCTTTTGAGGGCTATGTAAACCGCACTGGCCAGTCCCTGCTTTTGGATAATGAAGCTGTGAGTGTGATTATAATGCGATTATGGTTCCATTATGATGTGATTAGCATTTTTGTCTGTTCTGTTTAGCCCCATCCAGAGCTCCGAGGGGTGCTGACTCTTCCAACTCGCTTGACTAGACATGTCAGACTCAATTGGATTCAGCCATTTTTTGCCATTACACAGCTAAATTTTATTAACTTATGTAAGCTCTCAGGGAAGTCATTAAACCCTGTCTAAATCCATTATGTGCTCAACTGAACTAAAGATAAAACTGAATATCTTCTGATTTCAAATCATTACTTCATTTTTTTTTTTTTTTTTTGAGCAGCAGGCCCAGAGAAGGGCCCTGGAGGAACAGTACGCCTCCTCTGGAAAGGGAACCTCAGGAGTGTGTGCTGTCTCTGCCCCAGTTCCTGCAAGGGTTCCAGTTGCTAAAACTCTAGAGAGTCCTATTTCGGTTCCAATTCCCCTGGCGGTGATTGCTCCAGTTGTTCCCGCTGAAGTTCCTCCTGCAGAACTGGTTGTGTTTGAGGTCCCAGTAACGGATGCTGTTAAAGACGAAGTGGTAAAAGCTGCAGAGGACCTAGGACAAAGCCTAGTGGAACCCCCTGCAGAAGAGCCAGCTGTTATTGAGGAAGATGAAAGTATCACCATTCCGGTATCAGAGGTAATGTGAATGTGAACCTCCTTTTTTGAGGTTAATTATATTTGATAATTATTAAGTGCACAGAGAAATTTGTGGAAATTAACAATCATCGTCTGTAATTCATCAGATGTTACAGTTGTGACCGATATTAAAGTATGGGCCTGACAGTAATAGCTTTTCACAGCCTGGATGGAAGATGGGGGTGTGGTCATGTATGTAATGTAGAAGGGAAATATTTTGTGAACATTCTGTTCAGCATGCCTGCTGGAGCCACGGCAGACTTCAAAACTGCTTTTTTATTGAAAACGAGATCATAAGCTTTTCTGAATCCTGCTTCCTTTTGGTTTGGTTTGGTTTGGTTTATTTGTTTAGCACGTTTAGTACAAGTACAGAACAATGCTAGGAGGGAACGAAGCCAGACTAGGAACATTTTTAGGAACATTATTTCACCTTGATGTCAGTGAACACCAGTTGGCTCAGTAGGATTTTAACTGGTTGCCTGTGTTGAATATTTGAGATTAGATATCCACACATTCTGTGTCTGTAGAGACTCTGCTCTATGTGAGCAGGGCTGCTGATAAGGGGGGGACAACTAGACCTTTTGTGCTGGGCCCAGGCTTCAGGGGGGCCCTATAAAGTGATTGCAGTTTCAGCCCAAGGGGACAAGTTAACACGATTCAACCAGTGAAACCCCAGAAAGTAATTGTGCTGAGTAGAATGATGATGGAGTTTTTGTACCAAGCCCAACAATTATGTAAAGGTCATGTTTACCTTTGTTCTGTGAATTTTTATGACTAAAATCCAGTCATTTCCATAGGAATCCACTCAATCAGGAACCCAATCTTGTGGGTGCAGATTTTGCAACAGTTTCAAGTTGGTCACATAAATGTTTCCTCTTTGACCAACAGAAAGCTGCTTGGTTTAAAAATGTGACGTCTGTTTGAGTTGTGCATCATACATTGCTACACTATTGACAACAGACAATGGACAACATTTACTAAAGTGACTGCAACTGTTGCATAAAGAGAGATGCATCTCTTAAATAAACAGATTTTAGCATTACTGCATTGCATATTATCTTTGATAATGGCCATAAATAATAATAAAAAAAGGTTATTTGGAGAGTGCCACTGAGAATTATTACAAACTTGATGCTCATGAAATCTAATTTACCTGAGGAGCGGAACCACATTTATTTTCAAATAGAATAGGTTCAGTATGCCGTTCCATTATTATATGTTGCTTTATAAAAGCCTGTATTGTAAAATATACATATTTTAACATACTGTATATTATTTTATAAATCAATTGCATTATATTAATATATGTTTTATATTTTAAATCAATTCTTTTAAAAATGCATTTTCAACATCTAAGTTAACCAAGTTCTGCGTAATATGTCTCTACTTTCTGTGTCGCGTCTGTGATACTGTAGCTCATGACATCAGCAGATGTCTGTTTTCTTACATTATTGTGCATACATGCATGTACAAATATGCAAGCTGACATTCTCCCCAAACAATAACTTAATATATAGTCACTACTCAACCTCCTGCGCCTCACCCTCCCCCCTGTTTTTGAAGAGAAGCCAAGCCCTTAAAGCCCACCCTTCTTTTCCTGTGAGCTCTGCTTCAGCCTCTCCTCTCCCTTCGCAGACATCACAAGAGCTTGTGTTGGACATCCACACACTGAGAGTGGCACTGGGACAGGGCGAGTGAGAAAGGTTAAGTGTCAGGTTAAGGTCTGAGTTGCTTTACTGGAGTGTCAGGTCTGTGTCGCTATGGGGCTCATTCTCAGTTGGCTTCGAGGCCCTCGGGAGCCCTTTGACTTGCTGGATGTCTCTGTGGAAACGCAGGTGAGCTCCCACCTCAATGGATGGAGGCTTGTTGAAGGGGTTTAGCTGATGGAGAAAGAACATTTTGTACTGTCTGTGTCCACCCCCCCTCCCCCCTCCCCTTTTCTCTTTGTATTTTTGTAGGGGTCATGTGGGCGTTGCATTAGCTGGTGTGTTTGTCATTGTGGAGGAGGAGCTTAAATATTTTATGTAAGTTTTTTTCTGAACGCACATAGGTGGGTGGAGACAAGGAATGTGCTTAGGTCGGGTACAGGGCCTAGTCATGCATGCTATTGAGGGGTTGTGGCACGTTTGACGTAATTGTTGATAAATTTCAGTGTAGGGATTGCTTAGTAAAATTATCAATTTTACAATTTGAGTAATTTATAATTGGCATTGTTTTGTTTAATTCTTATTTAATCTGTTGAAGAAAGAGAATGTGAAACAGATATCTGACTGAGTGCTCATTTATAACCACGTGCACACATGGTCAGCTCTGAGGAGACGTGGTGGCCAACAGAATCTCCTTTGTCTTTTTTAACAACAATCTTTTTGACAACGGTTGTATGTGTTACTCTGTAAGTCTTTGTGTGGTTTACACAATACTTTTAAGTTAAATGTCATTCTGCAGATGGAGAATCTATGATGTGAGCATACATTAAACAGAATTTTGTAATGCTTTATTATTATAGTTTTGAGTTTAATTCAGTTTTATCTAATTTAATTTAATTTTTCCCTCTGTCACTATTGTTTTTTTTTTATTTGTAACTTGTATATTTTGAAAATGTTTAATGCTGCACCACATTCTCAGCTGAGTTTAGTGTGATTGCTGTCTAGTGGCATTTCCATGCTTATTTTTATGCATATTTTATGCATGAAACTAAACAAAAATGCATTACTCACTTTAAGTGAGGCCCACCGAAAAGAGAAATTCATTTCCATATGCTGATATGTGGAAGCCACACAAGAAGAAAAAAAAAAAAATCATTCTTTGGTAAAAGTCATAATTATGACATAAAATTATATTTGATAAGTGATGACTTTTTACCTTTAAATGTAAGATAAATTTATATTATTGCGACATTTCCATCTATCCATCTAAAGATCCATCTATGTTAGATATAGATCAGGGTCTCTAAAGTCCCGAATATGTAATAATTGTGACGATCAGCAGCCGTGGTGCCCTCGAGAGCCACTAGAGGGCACTCTCTCCCCATGTTATGTTTCCCCATGGACTCTTTGTGTTTTATTATGTTCAGCTGTGTTTCATTATTGGTTATTGAGTTCCTTATTTAAGCCTGAGTTTTCCCTGTATCCCTGGCGAAGTTTTTTTACCCTGTAAGCGTACATCTCTGAGCATTTTCTCCGTTTGTGTATTCCGTGTTTCCCTGGACTCTCGACCTTAGCCTGTTTCCTGGACTATTTGTGAACCTGTGCTGCCTGCCCCGACCATTGCCTGTTTAGACCACGAGTTTCTGGATTGCCCCTTGCTTTTTTTGTGTGCCTACTTGATTTCAGTTTATGTTCAAGTACAATAAAGTGCTGCACATGGATCCGACCGTCTCTGTCCGTACGTTACAATAATGATTGGTGAAACATTTATGGCCAATCATTATTAAATATTCAGGTCTTTAGAGGGCCGGATCTACATGGATGGATCTCTACCTTTCGCATTAATATAAAATTCTCTTGATATTGGTAACAATTACAGAAGACTCAAATAAAGCATTGTTACCTTTTGGAGTTTTGTTCAGTTTGAGCAGATGTTTTATACCATCATCACTGTCCTCATCAGAGCTCATTTGCCAGTACATTTAGGATCTGACTCATATTTGCCATCTCAAACATATTCTCAAAACTATAATTCTTTATTGTGTACAATTCATTGAATTGCTCTTCTTCAGTTATCAAACATTCAATTATAGTTGTGCAGAATATACTTACACACCTTGGGTCGTTAGCGACCCTATACAATGTTTTTTTTTTTTTTTAAATGAATAGGAAAACCGGCATTCTTTTATTATTATTTTTTTATACATACACTGTAAAAAAAAATGTTAGTTTAACTTAAAAAATTAAGTTAATTAATTGCCTTAAAATTTTAAGTTCTTTGAAATGGAAAAAAATGAGTTAATACAATGAAGGAGATTGATTTAATCACCAGAAACTCAAAATATTATTTTATCTGAACCACATAAATAATTTAAGTTGATTTGACAAAAGAAAAAAATGTTGGTATTACAAATCATGAAAATATTTTTTTACAGTGTATATATTGTTTATAATGAATTTATTGAGAAATACTAAGAAGGTTGATGTCTAACTTTAAAAAATAAATTAGGAGGAGAGTAGTAAATGACATCCAGGGTCACTAGACCCAAGGTATTTGTTTAAGGGTCAATGTCATCATAAATACGACTACTTAGTACTGTATATCATAATTATGAGACTAAATATGTCATAAAAATGCCATGACTTTCATAGAAACTTGCACTGTACAGTTGCATACATTTCAAATCAAAACAGTAGCAGAACTCAGAACAGTCTGGCATACTTTGTTTCTTAAATTTGCCCTGGAAGATTTTGGGGGAGTTTGGAGCACTGTGTATGTGGAGCGCATCAATATTAAACCTTACTCAATATTTCAACAACACGGCATATGCTGTACTCACATGTTACACTTTGCTCTGCAATAAACATGCATAATTTAGCATAGTAAATGTTTGGTTAGAGAGTCTTGTTGGTGTGGTGGAACTGACATTGCAAGTATTGTTATCATCATTATTAAGTATTATAATATAGTTTAAGATACTTTATTTTAATACAATTGTAACACAATTAATCTTTATTGTGATGTGGACCTTTACATTTTGTGATTACTGTCTTTTTTTAGGCCATATCATCTATAGATGAGCCAGTGTCCATCCCTGCTGAAACTGAGGTATGGTAATATGCTATCAATCAGTCCTCAGCAGTTCAACCACTGTAAAGTTTTGGCTATTTACACTAATGGGCTAGTAAAGGTGTTTTTCCTAATTACTAGGTCTCCAGTGCCACACCTTACCTTTCAGGGTTAATTTATGTGCTTTTTTCCCTCATAACTTTGCTTTATGAGGTGTAAAGAAAACTTATTAACTGCATCTTTTTTCTTTTTTTTACTAATAAAGACACTAGCTTTAGACAAATGTCCCATGCATATAGAATGCATATATAAATGAGGCTTTGTATTGGGTTAGAAATTTAAATGTAGTTTTTGAATTAAAGTATTGAGGAATTTACTAAAGGAATCTGTTCTTTCTTTTTTATTTTACTATGACCTTTTCAAAACATGCTATTCACAGATCCAGTTTGAGGAGTCTACACCTGTAGCCACAGAGGTATGTATATGTGTGTGTATATATATATATATATATATATACACAGTATATATATATATATATATATATATGTGTGTGTGTGTGTGTGTTTTATTTAATGTTTTTAATGTTAATCTTCTGTTAGCAACGCTAGCAACGTTAGTAATTGCACTCAACAACCAAATCCCATACCCACAGAGGACGCAGTAATACGAGTGATTATAATCGTCATTTAAAATACCAAAGCGGTTCAAAAACAATGAAAACAATTCATTCTTACAAGTCACTGGGCGCGGCCATCTTGAATTCCGAAAAGGGTTTTCTTGCTCGGTGTCCTCACAGTTGTCCGACGTCCGAGAGGAGAAATCCGAGGAAAGGGGGCGTGTTGCTAGGCAACGTCTGTTGTCCGATTCGGACCTCCGAGACGGATGAATAATAGAACGCACCATATGTGAACATAAGAGAGTTCTTTTAAAAACTACTTTTTAAAGGTATAAAACCTTGATGTATTGTAACATTTATGTATTGTAAACATGTTACCATTGTGCTTGTACATTATGTATTGCATGTTTTCTTGTCTTTATATGGTGTTCTGGAACAGACGCATGTTTTAGCTCAACTTGTCGAGACGGTTGACACCGAGCGTGAAGTTGAAGATGAGCTTCCTGCTAAGGATCCTGTGGTAGAGGTGCCAGTGCCAGCTAAGGATCCTGTGGTAGAGGTGCCAGTGCCAGCTAAGGATCCTGTGGTAGAGGTGCCAGTGCCAGCTAAGGATCCTGTGGTAGAGGTGCCAGTGCCAGCTAAGGATCCTGTGGTAGAGGTGCCAGTGCCAGAGGAGACGGTGACTACAGCTGAAACTGTTGCTGCAGTTGAAACTGTGACAGAAACAGTTTTAACCGAAGTTGAGCCTGTTGCCGACATCACCGTGGAAGTCGACGGGCATGTTGCCGGGGTCATGGGAGAGACTGCCATCGAAGCCGAAGCCATAACTGTTGAAACTGAGCCTGTTGAAGTCCGGAGACTCACAGAAGTCACGGAGGTGCCTGACACAATACATCTTCATGGCACATTGCAATGGACTCTTTGCATGAGTTAATTTGCATGCACAACAGGTGACTTTGTCTTGTCTGTTCTGTGCACTTGTTTGGATAATTGGGCATGACATGAGCCTCACTCTTCCCATTCTTTTTTTAATTCCCTTGGACAGTTCGGGCCATGTTTTTCAGGCACACTAAACTAACAAGTGCTAGCCCATAGCAATTTTTTAATATGGTTTCTCCTCCTTTCCTACAGGATGTACATGTAGAGCCTGAACCAGAAGAGTTTTCTGTGGTAAGTTCATTTGATTTGATTTTATTTTTATTTATTTATTTATTTATTTATTTTTTTTTTTTTTTTTTTGGGGGGGGGGAATAGTTCAGCCAAAAATATTAGCAAATTCTGGGTATTCTAGGTATTATACTAGGTATTCTGATTAATTATTTTGTCATTTTGCCTCCACGTTTCCCCGATTGCCTGCGAGCTTCTCCTCCTGTCCATATCCATACGGTAATCTCTCTACTGTGCGGCAGAGAGTCGCTTGGTTATGACGCAATCGTTAGCCTACTTTTACAAAAAACTGCTTCTATGGGGCCATAACATAAGCTACAACGTAATGGAGCATTTTATACATTGTCGTGTTTCTTTAGAAATAAGTAATGGACAAATGGATTCTTCAAACGCCTCAGATGTAAAGTTATTCGCTGTCAAAGTGACGCCAAAATGAATGGGAGTCAATGGAAATGCTAACGCAAGTGAAGTTCTGCTACAAGATGTCAGCTCCCGCGAGGCTTCAACTTCTGGTCGATGGATTACCCCCTTGATTACCCCCTTGGGATTTCCTGGAATGAAGTGTGTTATTGTACTTCTTTGGCGGGGCATATTTGGCGTGTCTGTGTGAGAGTGCCCTCTGGCATTCAGATGGATCAGCATTTACTACCGAACAGCCGCACTGCTCTGACAAGCTGCGCATAAAATAATCGCAACCTTTGCCAAATCGCGTGCAGTTTCATTACGATTAATCGTGCAGCCCTACTGCACACTAGACTTCTTTCTCAGTGTTTTTGTCTTGTTTTCCAGTACATATATCTAAAGGCCCGTTCACATCAAGGACGATAACTATAAAGATTGAGTTCTAAAAAAATATATAAATATAAAAAGCATTGCAGAGTACACACCACAACTATAATGATAACGACACAGTGAAAAGATATAGTTAGAATCACTTTCAGATTGATTTTTTTTTTTTTTTAGCCGATAGATGATATCGAAAGCCAATCAGAATCCATTCCACTTAAGAGAACTTTGGCATTTAAAGCGGCAGACGTCAAACCTGGAGTGCGTCCTTGGAATAAAACAAGAATTATCACTTGTTTTTTTGGACTCTAATAAAGTTATCATTATGGTTGTATAATCGTTTTTGGTGTGAATGGGCCTTAAACATTCTTAAATCAAGATGTATTTACTTAAGAAATGTGTCCTCAGAGACTCCTGCTGCCATACGCTGATTTCACCGACAGTAAAAGAAATGGACACAGCGACCCCATTGATTTAAACGGAGAAAACTGAAGCCCGATTATTGCACTTCCTGCCTGATGTCTGAGCGACTGCGCAGGCTCAAACTGAGCTTGACGACAGTCTGACAGATGTAAATCTTGTTCTAAGACAAATCTGAAACACCTCCCCAAAAACTTTGTTGAAATATTTTGTCCCGTTGCTTTTATGGACTCTCTGTCTATGGGCTTCTGCCTTGACTTTGTGCCTCCATGTCCCCCGATTGCCTCATAGACAGTAAAGGATTGCCTGCGAGCTTCTCCTCCTGTCTATACGGTAATGTCTCTATTGTGCGACAGAAAGTCCTGTGGTTATGACGCAATCTTTAGCCTATTTTTACAAAAACGGCTTCTATAGGGCTGTAACGAAAGATACAAGGTAATGGAGCCTTTTATACATTGTCGTGTTTCTTTAGGAATAAATAATGGACAAATGAAGTCTTTGGACGCCTCAGACGTTAAGTTAATTGCTGTCAAAGTGACGCCAAAATGAATGGGAGTCAATGGAATACTAACAGCAGGTGAAGTTCTGCTACAATGGCGGCTCCCGTGAGGCTTCAGTTTCCGGCTGATGGATTACACCCCTGTATTTCACGCAGCCGCCATTTTGAAATCGAAAGCAAGGCTCCGGTGGGAAGAACCCCGGAAGTACAGATATAGACAACAATGTCTTGGACTACCAACCTGAAGCTGCTGCCGCTATTTACACTATTGGATGTTAATATCCAATATAGGATATGTATATAGTTCGTTCCTGCTTCTTTTTTTCACATTCTGAATTATTTATAAAAATAAATATTTTATTTATAAATTAATTTCACTGTATATAGTCTAAAGTATGAAAGAAATGTATGTACATTTTTTAGAATAACTAATTTCTACATTAAACACAACAATAATATGCCATTGCATATTTGCGACTCTACTATGATTAAAGGCGACACTTCCGATTTTCTTCCCACTGGAATCATTTCAAAATGGCGGCTGCGTGAAATCAGCCTATTCTTTCTCCAGAATAGAGTGCCAAAGTGATGACGTCACTTTGTAGGACAACTCAGAAGTAGGGCTGTCAAATGATTAATCGCGATTAATCGCATCCAAAATAAAAGTTTGTGTTTGCATAATATATGTGGGTGTATTGTGTATAATTATTTTGTATATATATAAACAAGCACACATGCATGTATATTTAAGAAAAAAATATTATGTATATGTAAAATATTTATATTTATATATAATATATAAATTCTATAAATCTATATACAGTATATACATGAAAATATTTCTAAAATATATACAAGCATGTGTGTGTATTTATATATATAAAATAATTATACACAATGCACCCACATATATTATGTAAATACAAACTTTTATTTTGGATGCGATTAATCGCGATTAATCGTTTGACAGCCCTACTCAGAAGCTAACGGCGCATGGGTTCCCTCGATCGAAAAGCTATGCATTTTCCCCATTGATTTTAGGAAAATCGCAAAAAATAAGTTCTGTGTTTAACAAAGAGTTGTGACCCTTACACGTTTTGTCTATCAAGATAATCTTTACAAGTTAATTCAAAATGTATACATTTTGAAGCCTATTTAAAGTTTTTTTAAAAACACAAGCAGACACAATAAAGTTAAAAGCATGTTATAACTGTGTGTTCTATGTCATAGATCAAAAGGTGTTCAATATTTAGAGGCTTTGTTCACCACAGACCTTATTTCAGGTGATTTGGCAAAAACCCACTTAAAAATCCCATAGACTTTAGAGCGAGGGAACCAGTAGTGCTAAAATGCTATACTCACTTCCGCGTTTTGGCCTACAGAGTGACGTCGTAACTTCGGCACTCTATAGACCTTATGTAGCCCCGCCCCTTTTCAGCGCTGCGCTCGTGGTCTTTTGTTTTCCGGTCTGTATTTTCACAGTGATCTTGCCTATTTTTGAATGAATGGTTTGTTTTAAAATCTTCCCATTCTACTGACATTTGTTAAGACATCTGCTTTAAACATTACAATCCTCATGATAACTTTTGTTAACTTTACATTAAGTAAATCCACTTCAAAAGCTATACTCCTGGACAGCAATGCCATAGAGATATACGAAGCGACCGCAAACACGGAAGTTCAAAGACAATGTTCTAAAGATGGCGGCGCCCTCGTTTCTCTGGTGCATAAGGGTCTATATACCCTCAACTTTTGTCAAGGCAACACTCCATGTGTGTTGTGTCTAACGACCCACAGAACAGAGGGGTGGAGTAAGCGAAGCTCATTATCATTTAAAGGCATATGCACTGAAACAGTGCTGAAAACTAGTCCAGTGTTTTTTTTTTTTTTTTTTTTTTTTTTTTTTTTTGCAGTGTAAAGCTTTCTTTCTTCTATGGAACATAAATACAGATGTATCTCAGTTTTTGTCTGGATAATAAAAGTCAAGGCTTAGTGTTGTTTTGGCCCCAACCGACTTGCACTGTAGGGACAAAAAACAGCTAAAACATTCTTCAAAATATCTTAATGTGAAACCTGTAACTTTCTTTCTTCTGTGGAACATAAAAATAGATATGTCTCATTGTTTTTGATACATTGAAAGTCAAAGGGGCCTATGCCGTTTTGAATCACATTGACTTTTACTGTATGGTCAAAAAACATTCCTAAGAACATTTTTCTGAAACATTATTTTGTGTTCTTCAGAAGAAATTCTGTCATAGCTTTGTAACAAGTAACATGATGATGATCAAAAATGCTATATATATTTTGTGTGTGTGTGTGTGTGTGTTGTGTGTGAGAGAGAGAGAGAGAGAGAGAGAGAGAGAGAGAGAGAGAGAGAGAGAGAGAGAGAGAGAGAGAGAGAGAGAGAGAGAGAGAGAGAGAGAGAGAGAGAGAGAGAGAGAGAGAGAGAGAGAGAGAGAGAGAGAGAGAGAGAACTATCCATAAAGTAAAACGTTCCTATGTTCCTAGTGGTGAAGAAGATTGCACTTCAATAACATTTGCAATACATGCCAAGGGGCATAAAAAATAACGTGCATTCCTTTCTTTAGGAAGCTGCAGTACCTACAGAAGCTTTAGTGGAACCAGAGCCTGAGCAGCAGCAGCACACAGTCCCATTGGAGGAACCTACGGTATAAAACTACTTTTTATTAACTCCTTTTGTGGGATCATCTCAAGCATTTCTGCTCAGAATCCTTTTAGATTGAAGTTTAATTTTAAATATGGTCTTTTGCCCTTGGGTTTTCACATGCTGAAGCCTTCGGTCGAGTCCACTAGTGACTCCATCGCTGAAGAATTTGTTGTGAACGAGACAGTCATAGCTGTTGCCACAACTTTTGCAGAGGAACAGGTGAGCAGTTAGACACACCTAAAATGTGCACATCAGGCGTTAAATTCTATTACCTACTTGGATGGATCTAAATAGAAAATATGGCCTTTTCCCATAGATTCCTGAAACAACAACAGATGCCCCTGAGGTTCCATCAGAGACACTGGCAGAAATGATTCCTGCTCCTGCTCCTGAGCCTCTTCCTCTGCCTGTGCCTTTAGCAAAGGAGATTAAACAAGTGAGCTTTTAACTTAACGGTTAACATGACTGCACACACGCAAACAAACAAACAAACAAACATGCATACAGAAATAAATAAATTTTTAAGTAAAAACAGTAATATTGTGAAATATTATTTAATTACACACACACACATGATCCTTCAGAAAGCATTCTAATATGCTGATCTGGTGATAATTAAACATTTCTTGTTACATTTCAAATAGCAATGTTGAAAGTGGTTGTGCTGCTTAACAATTTTGGGTAGAGAATGTTAGGGGAGAGAATTTTCCAAATGAGCTCCAGTTCCTCGAATGCAATCACTCTAAATTGCTGATAAACCTAATTTGAAGCTTTTTGTATTTTAGTGTTCTCTGACTATAAAATTCAATTTTCAATTATTGTTTTTTTTTTTCAGTCTCAAGGTGAATTTATGGCACAAGTAGAAACGGAAACCATAAAGGTATTCCTCCCTCAGTATTTATTTATTTTATTTGTATCTTTTTGTTGTTTAAAATACAATGTTACCAATAAGTAGTATTTGTTTTAGTTAATGTTGTTTCTAACTTACTTAGGACTTGGCAGTGACTGGCAGCCTAACTGTGGATGCCATCAATGGATGTCTGGGAGCTACTGAAGTTGCAATTGAAGGTTAAACTACCTATGGTGAGGATGAGAAGCTCTTAAATAATTTGAATCAATTTACATGAACAAATGAATTAAGGTTCATAAGCCAAGGGAACAATAAAACATCTATTGTCTTTTGTTTTACAGTTGACTGAAACATCATGAAATATCGCAAAGTGCCTTAATGTGCTGATCGTCATCTAAAATATGAAAAGGTTGTGTGGCTGTTCTTCGCTGGTGGAGTTTTTCCAGGCTTCTAGTATTCTTCAGTTTCCATATGTACAGTAGATTTGCAGGTGTCATACATTGCATATAGTAAAGTAAAATGAAGGGGTGTTGCAAATTTCTATGTTTTTACTTGGATAATTTTGTAATGGGGAATAAATTCTAGTTGTATTTGTTTCATTTTGATAAAGAGATTGGGAATGGAGTGCTTCCTCAACAGAGCACAGTTTCATACTATAGCCTACCATCACCACATCTTCTGTGCCCCCTCAACCATTCACACGTGCCTTTCTCCAAATGTCAAATAAAGGGAGTTTGAAAAACGTTTTGTCCCCCCAAAAATTGTTGTATGGATTTAGAATTAAATATGTCTTGCACCTATTTAAACTGTATGGGATGCAAAATCTTGAAAGTGAAGCAAAATAGGTCAACTTTTGTTTGAACTGCAAGAGGCGGTAATTGCCATCATTATGTTGTACATCAAGTTCAAGGGTTACTCTTTAGGCGTAAATGGATGCGTAGGCAAAGAATGTCTGGCGTAGGCCTACGGACCTACGTGTAGACAACGTCAGGCACGAATACCATAAACCAGGTAATTGACTACGTCAGGGTATGGGAAAGGTGGTGTGCTTGGGTCTTTCGTCCATTCTGTTGCAGGTCGTATGGGTCCATGTTGTTGATGTCAAGTTTCTCTAAATAATGCTGCTTGGTGTTGTTGTCTCCCCCGATAGAGCCTCTTTCCTTTTGCTTCCCCCATCTTTATTTATTCCCAAGAAATTGTGCCTTCTCATAAAAATGCAAACAAACATCAAGCTGCTCTCTTTCTCTGTCGCTATTTCTCTCAGTCTCATGCTCAAAGTAAACATGACTTGAACGCTGAGGACATCTGTTGGTCAAACACGTAAGTTACATAAAGAAAGATTTGAAACAAACCAATCCCATTTCTTTAAAAATTTCCAAAACTTATTTTATTAGTCTCAATAGCCTCTATGCTCGATCGCTTCCGGGTTCGGCACGCACAATTACATCCGGTGCTGCGTCAGAAGCCGGTTTTGCGTTAGGTGGAGATAGTGTCAAATTTCACTTGCTGTTTATAAAAACGTCCTGCGGTTAACGTGAATGATATTAACAACACTGTGAGGCAGTTAGCTGTCACACAAGAGTAAAAAAGAGAAGATAAATTATATATTTCGAGCTACATCAACAATTTGAGGGTTAGTAGCCTATTCTCTCATATCGTACGAAATTCGACTAGCGAATCAGCGTTTCTAAAATAGTTGTCTCCGTTTCTGAAAAAACGGATTTTATTAAAGATTTGCCGCTATACACTTGGCCTGCAGAACGCGTTTCCGGAAGTAAAGACGCTGACTAAGATTCTTTCGGACACACGTCAGCAGGGTTCGTGCGTAGAGCCTATTGTGTTGTATTGTAAGCAAAAAAAGACAGGCTGCTCATGTCACATCTATGTCGTCAAGCTCAGTTTGAGCCTGCACAGTGCGCTTGGCTATCAGGAAGTGAGTGCTTCTAATTGACTTCACTTTTCTCCGTTGAAGTCTATGGGTTCAATGTGTCCATTTCTTTTACTGTCTATCGAAAATGGTGTCTTGTAAATGGCCCCTAAATGGGGACATCCCACAGATACAGTATATGGTAGAATGATGTAAGATGCCCCCCTAATTACAATATTATTTACTAGGGATGGACGAAATGGACTTAAAACTACGTCACAATATTTTCTGGTATTTATTGCGACATTATTAACAATGACTCTATACTGTAAACAGTACCATTCACCACTGTTTTTGTCTACAAGTGAGCCTCAGAAACACATCATCATCAAATAAGCTCCTAAAATATACCAATTACATAAAATAATAAATAAAAAAAAACCCTGTAAAAATCCAAACAACAGCCCTTGCAGAAAGTTGCAGATATAGCCTTCTGTAGATAGTGCAAAGGAAAGCTGAGTCTTCATCCCCGGAGGACTCTAGCTCACCCCCCGACAGCAAACTCTCGAGGCATTTGGTACTGGTATCCAATGTATCCAATGATGTCGGTCCCAGCGGCAGTGAAAATGTTACTAGTGGTCTCAGCGCTGTCAAGTGCAGTGGTCCCAAGTCTGGTGGTCTCAGCACTACTGTCTGCTTGTCCCATGTGTGATGGTCCAGAGTCGGCGATCCCAATGGTTCCAAGTCCGGTGGTCTCAGAAGTCCTTTCACCATCGGCTGTGCTTCCTGTGATGGCCGCTGCCATCTTGTGTGTTTGGGCCACACATTGCTCTACAGCTCCTGAGGCTGTGGCGGTGTCCTCTACAGCATCTTCTGAGGCGGTGGTGTCCAGCTCCTCCTGAGACTGCACTGTCTGCTTGTGAAATCTCATATAGAGGGCATCTCTGAACTCTTGGTCTGCCCTGTTATGGCCAAGGAGCCCATGATCCACAGTCTTGTCATGTGGTTCCTTTGTCTCATGTGTAATGTTTTGTTGGTTTTATTGTGTCCATTGCTTTCAGGTGTGTCTTATGTCATTAGTCCTTGTATTGATAGCCCTCATGTTCCCATTGTCTAGCTTCGTTCTCTGTAACTAATTGTCAGTACATTTCTGTATATCGTTCATGTCGAAGTATGTTCTAGTCAAGTCACGTTAAGTTGAACTCATGTCATCGTTTGATTCTGTTTACTCTGTCCCCATTGTTAAAACTGCACTCGGGTTCTTTTAAACTCTGCTCGCCTTCAGGACTATATATTACAGGCAGTATCTTAACTTTTACATTTAAATTCATGGGTCTCACTTTATACTTTAAATTAATTATTTGATACAATGCATTTATTACATGTTTTTACATTGTACTTCTATTTTAAAAATACAGATGTAATTAATATATGGGTAATTACATCTAATTTCTGCAAAGAGTCTGATTCGGATCTGGTGATTCTGGCTCGAGAACACGTGATGTGGTAACAAGCGAAGCACGCTGCGTCTCACACTCTTGCTAATGTTTGCTCATCTTTAACCTCACCATTTGTAACCTAACTCGCTTTTATACCTATCCAAAAGTGGTGGATTTACTAACTTGCGGATCTGCTGTTGAGCTGCTGAAGGCTAAAGCGGTGCAAACCGACCCAAATGCTGAGGCACGCATGACGTCACTCACCCACCTGCTTGAGTGTCATCGAACAGCCATCTCCGAGGACTTCAAACACACTCCCGAGACAAAGTTGAACGGTGTCATAACTACCATGACAGAACATGCTGATAAACTTGAAATTCTTGAGAGTGAAGGTGACGCGTGAGAGCTATGCCTGAAAGCTGCCAAAGAAGCTAGCACCAAGCTCCAGATGGACCATGCTGAACTAGCAACTAAAGTGGTCAACCTCGAATCATGAAGCTGGCGCAACAACATCAGGGTAATCGGTGTACCTGAATCCATGGATGGGCCACAACTGACAGCTTATACTTAATAATTCATTAATTATACTTATTATTATTATTATTATTATTACTGGTGAGGGAATGTGTTTCATCTTGAGTGGGACAATCTGAACAAATTAACGACAAACATTCATGGCTCAAATGTGCTGAACTGGACTGGTGGGATCATGATCCATGATGTGAAACCTGGATTTGATGTCCCCAACTCTCTATAAATTCCATGAATGCTCCCACTCTATGAGCGGAAAATAAAACACCCTCTCTTAAGGTACACCTGAGACCCTAAAATCATCATCAAGTCATGATTAGATGATGAACAGTGCATAAACCCTCAAATATACACCAAAAAATGGAAAAAAATGGTGACATTGGATCACTAGAACTCTGGAAGGACCCTATTGATATATGTTTTCAAACTGTTGTATTTTTACAGTCTTTAGGATGTCTACGAAACAAATGTTGATGATCCCCACCTGAAATACTGTCACATGTTGGTCCAAATGAACATCTCCCATAATAAGTAGTTACTATTCAAACCGTTATATTGGTATTATATTTATTGAAACAAAACAGAAAACCACTCATAGTCAAATATGTGTACAGTATATATAGGGTAAAACAAATCCCGATTAGAATAAACTGAAATAGAAAAAAGTGATCCCTAATCAACCCCTCCTTGCAATGCCAACTTAACGTGGTGGAGGGGTTTGAGTAATCGAATGAGCTATGAGCCTATGGCCTATGTTGTCCAGGGCTATATGCCCCTGGTATGGTCTCCCAAGGCAAACAGGTCCTAGGCAACAGGTCAGACTAAGAGCGATTCAAAAAACCTTATGAATGAAGTGAAAAGGGCCGTGAAGTCACCTGGTACAGTGCAGCCAGGGCCCCGCCCTGGAGCCAGGCCCGGGGTTGGGGCTTGTATGCGAACGCCTGGGGGTCGGGCCTCCCCCCACGGGGTCCGGCCGGGCTCAGCCCGAAGGAGCGACGTGGGGCCGCCTTCCCGTGGGCTCACCACCTGCAGGAGGGACCGTAAGACTGTAAGACACTGAACTTTCAGCGCTGCGACTTTGCAGATACTGTTCATGCACCAACAGCAACATTACACACTTGAAAAAAGTGAAATCGCAGTCAACCCCCCTTTAAATAAACCTCAAATTACCATCCTAATTACATGGTGTGATTTTTAATTAATGCATATTTTTGAACAGGTATCTTAAAATGCATTATTTATTTAAAATATCTACAGTTATATTTTTAATGTGCAACAATTGATGTTGGAAACGAGCAGTAATGTGCTCAACAATAATTTATATAGCCAGTTATGAAATATGGAGGAGATCTATCAAATCAAAACCTAAAGGAGAAAAACAGACTGCCTATATATAAATGTTCTTTTTTGCTATTTTGGATTTCCAGGGTGGAAACCAATATAGCTAGACATAAATGTGACAATATTGCAGGTGGGGATCAACGCTTCTTAGACATCCTAAAGACTGTAAAAATACAAAAGTTAGAAAACATATATCAGAAGGGTCCGTACTTCATAGCTCATTTTCTCATGTATGAACCAAATTCTATGGGCGTGCAAAGCAGAGAAAGGGGAGGTCACCTTTCCTCCATATGACGTCATACGGAGGAGATTCAAGATCAGCCTGTCTCACCTTTCATTTCTCAAAGGCAGATATAGATTTTTTTTTTTTTTTTTTTTTTTTTACATTACAGACATCTGAATCATTCACCCTATCTTCAAAATCCTGACAAGGAAATAAATAGGGAGGTCATACAACTTGTATTGTGAGCTATTAGTTTCCTCCTAGAGTAAAAAAGTTGAGGCTTCACTTAATGTCTGCAGTCAGACAGTCAGCATGAATCTTCTCTCTTAATAAATAAAATATCACGAGCTGAAACTGGACACCAAATCAAGGTAAGACCTGGTTTATGCTCTTTTTTTATCCAGATACAGTAAGGCACAGTAAATAAAATTAAAAAAAATTAAAAAAAACAAAAAACTATCAATTATAATGAATGGTTGAGGAATATAGTGACTCTCTTAAAGATGTTAGCTTTTAACCATCCCAAAAATGTTATAAGATAATCATATTGTGTATGTGTGCATTTACAACTGCACTGTCAAGATCGTTTGCTTCAGAATAATCTGTTTGTATTCCTATTAATTAAGAGGAAATAATCTCATATAAAATGCAGATTTAAATGAAACTATAGCAGATTAGAACAAGTTAGAACTTGTTTTTAAGTCATTTTAGAAAGCAGTGAATGGATTCACTGTCCAAATAAAACGCATTTTCATTTCTTTTGGCAAAAGTATAACCAAATTTAAATTATTAATTCACCCTCAAAATTATTAAGCTCTATTAAGTTATTAGGCTTTAAAAGATAGATATAAACATAACCCACCCTTTTGTTTTATTTTTTTTATTTTTTTGTTCTTTTCCTCCACATAGGCATGGAACCTGTTATGATGAAACTGAGAATCATAATTATGTTGTATGTGACTTCTTCATTTGAAGTACAAAGCCTGAGTCATGCACAGACTGTGAGTGAGGAAGTACTTGGAGTAAATACGTGGCATACAATGCTGGTAAGTATGCTTAATGGAATGCAGCACAGAACTGCTTTGTTTTCTTTGGTTGCATTTAGCCCTGATAAATCACATTTTTAATCAGAGTGAAGTCGAAACCATCTTTGCAGTTATTTGACATATGCGCTCTTTTTTCTTATCTGAATAAGAATGCGTTGATTGCGCTGATAGAGATGAGGACATATTTTGCTACTGATAAACTTAAAAAACATTCTGTGTCTTTCCTCTAAATTCCAGCCACCTTACATGGATGAAAGTGGAAATAACTTAAAACAAGAAGGACAGGGTGAGTGTTAATGAAAGATATGGGTGGATTGCCCAACTAAGTTAAGCTTGTGATTTAGAGCAATTTGATTATTAAACAATTATTAATCGAAAGTACAATATAAAACACTGTAAAAAAATATTTGGTTAAAAAGCAAAGAAACATAAGACATTTCGGTTTTTGTATTATCTGAGAAATTGTGGAAGAAAACATTTTCAACTAGATTTGTATTTCATTTTGATGGGGACCTTAAGTAAAGTAAAATGACATTTAGATATATTGTAAACCTAAATATAGACAGAGGGACAAAGGGAGAAAGAGACAATGTAGTATATCGAAAATACATATAAGGTAAATCGATTTTTACTATGAAAGTAGTAAATGAACTGTATAACTCGGTGTTTTAACTTAGCTTGAATATTAATTTTAAAAGCATATTTGGCATGTTAAAATTATTTAAATTTGACGCCCACTTTCTGAGTAAAGAAACTGTATGAATGCCTCTTTTTATTAAGATTTCTTCTTCCATTTTGGCAGTGAATTGGAAATCATTCAAATACTTGATCAGCATCAAAATAAATTCTTCAAGGGTAATGGTACAGGATCGCTTGAAGACACTTCTTCAAGGATACTCATTTCCATATAGTGTCGGCCAAAATGTCATCGTGACCAATATGAATCTCAGAACAAGTAAGACTCTTCAGTAATATTGTTCTTTATAAATTATAATGTTAAAATATTAGAATACTAACTACAGTTACTCAAAAAAATGATATTCAGTATACCAATATACCATATAATGTACAGTACACCAGAAGAAGAAAAAACAGACATTAAATGTGTGCTATCAGGAAGCATTCCATAATAGTGGATATGATATTAAATATTCATCTATATTTCATAGCTCCTCCTTTAAAACTGTTCAAGTACACAACTGATATAAAAATCAATGCTTCAAGAGAAGGAGTGATAGAACAATTGAGGGACTTAATGCGTGAACAGAAATTTCCTATGTGCATCAAGAAAAACATGAAAATATCCAGTGCAAACATCGCTTCAGGTAAGTCAAGTATATAGACTAATGCCGTTTTGTCTACATTAATCTGATATGGTATACATATAGCCTACGTATTTCATTTTCAGTGTGTCTCTCAAATTTGAGCAAAACTGAATGCAAGTGTGAGAATCAATACGCTTGGCCCTCTGAACAATGCTTTAAACATGGCGTTTGCGGCCACAGTCAAAATGGTACGTGTGGATGCATCACTTCTCTTCCAACTGAAGGAGCGTTCTGCCGACCACCACCTGGTAAAGAGTCTCTTTATTTCAAATCCAAGTTGGCTAATGTGATCGTAACGTCTGATGCAGTTTAAGACCGGTGTTATTCATGTCTTTTCTTAATGTTTGCAGCTCCACTAAAGTCCTTCAAATACACCATTGACATTAAAATCAATGCTTCACAAGAAGCCGTGGTAGAGCGCTTGAGGGCGTTGATTCGTGGACAGAAATTCCCCATGTGTGTCAAGAAAGGCATGAAAATCTCCAGTGCAAACATCAATGCAGGTAGAAGTATAAGCCGAGTAATACCTTTGTGTTCATATTTATCCTACCAATTATTGCCATGTTCCCTCCAAAAATGTTAATAATTTGTTCCATTTTCAGTGTGTCTCTCAAATTCAAGCAAAACGGAGTGCAAGTGTGAGAATCAATACGCTTGGCCCTCTGAACAATGCTCTAAACATGGCGTTTGCGGCCAGAGTCAAAATGGTACGTGTGGATGCATCACTTCTCTTTCAACTGAAGGAGCGTTCTGCCGGCCACCACCTGGTAAAGAGTCTCTTTATTTCAAATCCAAGTTAGAGATTGTGTGATGGTAAAGTCCGATGGCGTTTATGACCAGAATGTTATTTGTCTTTTCTTAATGTTTGCAGCTCTACTAAAGTCCTTCAAATACACCATTGACATTAAAATCAATGCTTCACAAGAAGCTGTGATAGAGCGCTTGAGGGCGTTGATTCGTGGACAGAAATACCCCATGTGTGTCAAGACAGGCATGAAAATCTCCAGTGCAAACATCAATGCAGGTAGAAGTATAAGAGGAGTAATACCTTCTGGGTTCATATTTATCTTTTCAATTATTCCTATGTGTTCCCTCCAAAATGTTAATTATTTGTTCCATTTTCAGTGTGTCTCTCAAATTCAAACAAAACTGAGTGCAAGTGTGAGAGTCAATACGTTTGGCCCTCTGAACAATGCTCTAAACATGGCGTTTGCGGCCACAGTCAAAATGGTACGTGTGGATGCATCACTTCTCTTCCAACTGAAGGAGCGTTCTGCCGGCCACCACCTGGTAAAGAGTCTCTTTATTTCAAATCCAAGTTGGAGATTGGTGTGATCGTAAGGTCTGATGCAGTTTAAGACCGCTGTATTATTCATGTCTTTTCTTAATGTTTGCAGCTCCACTAAAGTCCTTCAAATACACCATTGACATTAAAATCAATGCTTCAAAAGAAGCCGTGATAGAGCGCTTGAGGGCGTTGATTCGTGGACAGAAATTCCCCATTTGTGTCAAGAAAGGCATGAAAATCTCCAGTGCAAACATCAATGCAGGTAGAAATATAAGCGGAGTAATACCTCTGTGTTCATATTTATCCTACATATTATTCCTATGTTCCCTCCAAAATGTTAATAATTTGTTCCATTTTCAGTGTGTCTCTCAAATTCAAGCAAAACTGAGTGCAAGTGTGAGAATCAATACGCTTGGCCCTCTGAACAATGCTCTAAACATGGCGTTTGTGGCCACAGTCAAAATGGTACGTGTGGATGCATCACTTCTCTTCCAACTGAAGGAGCGTTCTGCCGACCACCACCTGGTAAAGAGTCTCTTTATTTCAAATCCAAGTTGGAGATTGGTGTGATCGTAAAATCTGATGGCGTTTATGGCCAGTATGTTATTTCTGTCTTTTCTTAATGTTTGCAGCTCCACTAAAGTCCTTCAAATACACCATTGACATTAAAATCAATGCTTCAAAAGAAGCCGTGATAGAGCGCTTGAGGGTGTTGATTCGTGGACAGAAATTCCCCATGTGTGTCAAGAAAGGCATGAAAATATCCAGTGCAAACATCAATGCAGGTAGAAATATAAGCGGGGTAATGCCCTTGTGTTCATATTTATCCTATCAATTATTCCTATTTTCCCTCCAAAATGTTAATAATTTGTTCCATTTTCAGTGTGTGTCTCAAATTCAAGCAAAACTGAGTGCAAGTGTGAGAGTCAATACGTTTGGCCCTCTGAACAATGCTCTAAACATGGCGTTTGCGGCCACAGTCAAAATGGTACGTGTGGATGCATCACTTCTCTTCCAACTGAAGGAGCGTTCTGCCGACCACCACCTGGTAACGAGTCTCTTTATTTCAAATCCAAGTTGGCGAATGTGATCGTAACGTCTTATGGAGTTTAAGACCAGTGTATTATTCATGTCTTTTCTTAATGTTTGCAGCTCCACTAAAGTCCTTCAAATACACCATTGACATTAAAATCAATGCTTCAAAAGAAGCTGTGATAGAGCGCTTGAGGGTGTTGATTCGTGGACAGAAATACCCCATGTGTGTCAAGACAGGCATGAAAATCTCCAGTGCAAACATCACTACAGGTAGAAATATAAGCGGAGTAATACATTTGTGTTCATAATTATCCTACATATTATTCCTATGTTTCCTCCAAAATGTTAATAATTTGTTCCATTTTCAGTGTGTCTCTCAAATTCAAGCAAAACTGAGTGCAAGTGTGAGAATCAATACGTTTGGCCCTCTGAACAATGCTCTAAACATGGCGTTTGCGGCCACAGTCAAAATGGTACGTGTGGATGCATCACTTCTCTTCCAACTGAAGGAGCGTTCTGCCGGCCACCACCTGGTAAAGAGTCTCTTTATTTCAAATCCAAGTTGGAGATTGGTGTGATCGTAAAGTCCGATGGCGTTTATAACCAGTATGTTTTTTCTGTCTTTTCTTAATGTTTGCAGCTCCACTAAAGTCCTTCAAATACACCATTGACATTAAAATCAATGCTTCAAAAGAAGCTGTGATAGAGCGCTTGAGGGCGTTGATTCGTGGACAGAAATTCCCCATGTGTGTCAAGAAAGGCATGAAAATCTCCAGTGCAAACATCAATGCAGGTAGAAGTATAAGCGGAGTAATACCATTTGGGTTCATATTTATCTTTTCAATTATTCCTATGTGTTCCCTCCAAAATGTTAATAATTTGTTCCATTTTCAGTGTGTCTCTCAAATTCAAGCAAAACTGAGTGCAAGTGTGAGAATCAATACGTTTGGCCCTCTGAACAATGCTCTAAACATGGCGTTTGCGGCCACAGTCAAAATGGTACGTGTGGATGCATCACTTCTCTTCCAACTGAAGGAGCGTTCTGCCGGCCACCACCTGGTAAAGAGTCTCTTTATTTCAAATCCAAGTTGGAGATTGGTGTGATCGTAAAGTCCGATGGCGTTTATGACCAGTATGTTATTCCTGTCTTTTCTTAATGTTTGCAGCTCCACTAAAGTCCTTCAAATACACCATTGACATTAAAATCAATGCTTCAAAAGAAGCCGTGATAGAGCGCTTGAGGGCGTTGATTCTTGGACAGAAATTCCCCATGTGTGTCAAGAAAGGCATGAAAATCTCCAGTGCAAACATCAATGCAGGTAGAAATATAAGCGGAGTAATACCTCTGTGTTTATATTTATCCTACCAATTACTCCTATGTTTCCTCCAAAATGTTAATAATTTGTTCCATTTTCAGTGTGTCTCTCAAATTCAAGCAAAACTGAGTGCAAGTGTGAGAATCAATACGTTTGGCCCTCTGAACAATGCTCTAAACATGGCGTTTGCGGCCACAGTCAAAATGGTACGTGTGGATGCATCACTTCTCTTTCAACTGAAGGAGCGTTCTGCCGGCCACCACCTGGTAAAGAGTCTCTTCATTTCAAATCCAAGTTGGAGATTGGTGTGATCGTAAAGTCCGATGGCGTTTATGACCAGTATGTTATTTCTGTATTTTCTTAATGTTTGTAGCTCCACTAAAGTCCTTCAAATACACCATTGACATTAAAATCAATGCTTCAAATGAAGCCGTGATAGAGCGCTTGAGGGCGTTGATTCGTGGACAGAAATTCCCCATGTGTGTCAAGAAAGGCATGAAAATCTCCAGTGCAAACATCACTGCAGGTAGAAATATAAGCGGAGTAATACCTTTTGGGTTCATATTTATCTTTTCAATTATTCCTATGTGTTCCCTTCAAAATGCTAATAATTTGTTCCATTTTCAGTGTGTCTCTCAAATTCAAACAAAACTGAGTGCAAGTGTGAGAATCAATACGTTTGGCCCTCTGAACAATGCTCTAAACATGGCGTTTGCGGCCACAGTCAAAATGGTACGTGTGGATGCATCACTTCTCTTCCAACTGAAGGAGCGTTCTGCCGGCCACCACCTGGTAAAGAGTCTCTTTATTTCAAATCCAAGTTGGAGATTGGTGTGATCGTAAAGTCTGATGGCGTTTAAGACCAGTGTATTATTCATGTCTTTTCTTAATGTTTGCAGCTCCACTAAAGTCCTTCAAATACACCATTGACATTAAAATCAATGCTTCAAAAGAAGCCGTGATAGAGCGCTTGAGGGCGTTGATTCGTGGACAGAAATTCCCCATGTGTGTCAAGAAAGGCATGAAAATCTCCAGTGCAAACATCAATGCAGGTAGAAGTATAAGCGGAGTAATACCTTTGTGTTCATATTTATCTTTTCAATTATTCCTATGTGTTCCCTCCAAAATGTTAATAATTTGTTCCATTTTCAGTGTGTCTCTCAAATTCAAGCAAAACTGAGTGCAAGTGTGAGAGTCAATACGTTTGGCCCTCTGAACAATGCTTTAAACATGGCGTTTGTGGCCACAGTCAAAATGGTACGTGTGGATGCATCACTTCTCTTCCAACTGAAGGAGCGTTCTGCCGGCCACCACCTGGTAAAGAGTCTCTTTATTTCAAATCCAAGTTGGAGATTGGTGTGATCGTAAAGTCCGATGGCGTTTATGACCAGTATGTTATTTCTGTCTTTTCTTAATGTTTGCAGCTCCACTAAAGTCCTTCAAATACACCATTGACATTAAAATCAATGCTTCAAATGAAGCCGTGATAGAGCGCTTGAGGGCGTTGATTCGTGGACAGAAATTCCCCATGTGTGTCAAGAAAGGCATGAAAATCTCCAGTGCAAACATCAATGCAGGTAGAAGTATAAGCGGAGTAATACCTTTGTGTTCATATTTATCCTACATATTATTCCTATGTGTTCCCTCCAAAATGCTAATAATTTGTTCCATTTTCAGTGTGTCTCTCAAATTCAAACAAAACTGAGTGCAAGTGTGAGAGTCAATACGTTTGGCCCTCTGAACAATGCTCTAAACATGGCGTTTGCGGCCACAGTCAAAATGGTACGTGTGGATGCATCACTTCTCTTCCAACTGAAGGAGCGTTCTGCCGACCACCACCTGGTAAAGAGTCTCTTTATTTCAAATCCAAGTTGGAGATTGGTGTGATCGTAAAGTCCGATGGCGTTTATGACCAGTATGTTATTTCTGTCTTTTCTTAATGTTTGCAGCTCCACTAAAGTCCTTCAAATACACCATTGACATTAAAATCAATGCTTCAAATAAAGCCGTGATAGAGCGCTTGAGGGTGTTGATTCGTGGACAGAAATTCCCCATGTGTGTCAAGAAAGGCATGAAAATCTCCAGTGCAAACATCAATGCAGGTAGAAGTATAAGCGGAGTAATACCTTTGTGTTCATATTTATCTTTTCAATTACTTCTGTGTTTTCCCTCCAAAATGCTAATAATTTGTTCCATTTTCAGTGTGTCTGTCAAATTCAAGCAAAACTGAGTGCAAGTGTGAGAATCAATACGTTTGGCCCTCTGAACAATGCTTTAAACATGGCGTTTGCGGCCACAGTCAAAATGGTACGTGTGGATGCATCACTTCTCTTCCAACTGAAGGAGCGTTCTGCCGGCCACCACCTGGTAAAGAGTCTCTTTATTTCAAATCCAAGTTGGAGATTGGTGTGATTGTAACGTCTGATGCAGTTTAAGACCGCTGTATTATTCATGTCTTTTCTTAATGTTTGCAGCTCCACTAAAGTCCTTCAAATACACCATTGACATTAAAATCAATGCTTCAAATGAAGCCGTGATAGAGCGCTTGAGGGCGTTGATTCGTGGACAGAAATTCCCCATGTGTGTCAAGAAAGGCATGAAAATCTCCAGTGCAAACATCAATGCAGGTAGAAATATAAGCGGAGTAATACCTCTGTGTTCATATTTATCCTACATATTATTCCTATGTTCCCTCCAAAATGCTAATAATTTGTTCCATTTTCAGTGTGTCTCTCAAATTCAAACAAAACTGAGTGCAAGTGTGAGAGTCAATACGTTTGGCCCTCTGAACAATGCTCTAAACATGGCGTTTGCGGCCACAGTCAAAATGGTACGTGTGGATGCATCACTTCTCTTCCAACTGAAGGAGCGTTCTGCCAACCACCACCTGGTAAAGAGTCTCTTCATTTCAAATCCAAGTTGGAGATTGGTGTGATCGTAAAGTCCGATGGCGTTTATGACCAGTATGTTATTTCTGTCTTTTCTTAATGTTTGCAGCTCCACTAAAGTCCTTCAAATACACCATTGACATTAAAATCAATGCTTCAAAAGAAGCCGTGATAGAGCGCTTGAGGGCGTTGATTCGTGGACAGAAATTCCCCATGTGTGTCAAGAAAGGCATGAAAATCTCCAGTGCAAACATCAATGCAGGTAGAAGTATAAGCGGAGTAATACCTTTTGGGTTCATATTTATCTTTTCAATTATTCCTATGTGTTCCCTCGAAAATGCTAATAATTTGTTCCATTTTCAGTGTGTCTCTCAAATTCAAACAAAACTGAGTGCAAGTGTGAGAATCAATACGTTTGGCCCTCTGAACAATGCTCTAAACATGGCGTTTGTGGCCACAGTCAAAATGGTACGTGTGGATGCATCACTTCTCTTCCAACTGAAGGAGCGTTCTGCCGGCCACCACCTGGTAAAGAGTCTCTTTATTTCAAATCCAAGTTGGAGATTGGTGTGATCGTAAGGTCTGATGCAGTTTAAGACCGCTGTATTATTCATGTCTTTTCTTAATGTTTGCAGCTCCACTAAAGTCCTTCAAATACACCATTGACATTAAAATCAATGCTTCAAAAGAAGCCGTGATAGAGCGCTTGAGGGCGTTGATTCGTGGACAGAAATTCCCCATTTGTGTCAAGAAAGGCATGAAAATCTCCAGTGCAAACATCAATGCAGGTAGAAGTATAAGCGGAGTAATACCTTTGTGTTCATATTTATCCTACATATTATTCCTATGTGTTCCCTCCAAAATGCTAATAATTTGTTCCATTTTCAGTGTGTCTCTCAAATTCAAGCAAAACTGAGTGCAAGTGTGAGAGTCAATACGTTTGGCCCTCTGAACAATGCTTTAAACATGGCGTTTGCGGCCACAGTCAAAATGGTACGTGTGGATGCATCACTTCTCTTCCAACTGAAGGAGCGTTCTGCCAACCACCACCTGGTAAAGAGTCTCTTCATTTCAAATCCAAGTTGGAGATTGGTGTGATCGTAAAGTCCGATGGCGTTTATGACCAGTATGTTATTTCTGTCTTTTCTTAATGTTTGCAGCTCCACTAAAGTCCTTCAAATACACCATTGACATTAAAATCAATGCTTCAAATGAAGCCGTGATAGAGCGCTTGAGGGCGTTGATTCGTGGACAGAAATTCCCCATGTGTGTCAAGAAAGGCATGAAAATCTCCAGTGCAAACATCAATGCAGGTAGAAATATAAGCGGAGTAATACCTTTTGGGTTCATATTTATCTTTTCAATTATTCCTATGTGTTCCCTCCAAAATGCTAATAATTTGTTCCATTTTCAGTGTGTCTCTCAAATTCAAACAAAACTGAGTGCAAGTGTGAGAGTCAATACGTTTGGCCCTCTGAACAATGCTCTAAACATGGCGTTTGCGGCCACAGTCAAAATGGTACGTGTGGATGCATCACTTCTCTTCCAACTGAAGGAGCGTTCTGCCGACCAACACCTGGTAAAGAGTCTCTTTTTTTCAAATCCAAGTTGGCGAATGTGATCGTAACGTCTTATGGAGTTTAAGACCAGTGTATTATTCATGTCTTTTCTTAATGTTTGCAGCTCCACTAAAGTCCTTCAAATACACCATTGACATTAAAATCAATGCTTCAAATGAAGCCGTGGTAGAGCGCTTGAGGGCGTTGATTCGTGGACAGAAATTCCCCATTTGTGTCAAGAAAGGCATGAAAATCTCCAGTGCAAACATCAATGCAGGTAGAAGTATAAGCGGAGTAATACCTTTGTGTTCATATTTATCTTTTCAATTACTCCTGTGTTTTCCCTCCAAAATGTTAATAATTTATTCCATTTTCAGTGTGTCTGTCAAATTCAAGCAAAACTGAGTGCAAGTGTGAGAATCAATACGTTTGGCCCTCTGAACAATGCTCTAAACATGGCGTTTGCGGCCACAGTCAAAATGGTACGTGTGGATGCATCACTTCTCTTCCAACTGAAGGAGCGTTCTGCCGGCCACCACCTGGTAAAGAGTCTCTTTATTTCAAATCCAAGTTGGAGATTGGTGTGATCGTAAGGTCTGATGCAGTTTAAGACCGCTGTATTATTCATGTCTTTTCTTAATGTTTGCAGCTCCACTAAAGTCCTTCAAATACACCATTGACATTAAAATCAATGCTTCAAAAGAAGCCGTGATAGAGCGCTTGAGGGCGTTGATTCGTGGACAGAAATTCCCCATTTGTGTCAAGAAAGGCATGAAAATCTCCAGTGCAAACATCAATGCAGGTAGAAGTATAAGCGGAGTAATACCTTTGTGTTCATATTTATCCTACATATTATTCCTATGTGTTCCCTCCAAAATGCTAATAATTTGTTCCATTTTCAGTGTGTCTCTCAAATTCAAGCAAAACTGAGTGCAAGTGTGAGAGTCAATACGTTTGGCCCTCTGAACAATGCTTTAAACATGGCGTTTGCGGCCACAGTCAAAATGGTACGTGTGGATGCATCACTTCTCTTCCAACTGAAGGAGCGTTCTGCCGACCACCACCTGGTAAAGAGTCTCTTTATTTCAAATCCAAGTTGGAGATTGGTGTGATCGTAAAGTCCGATGGCGTTTATGACCAGTATGTTATTTCTGTATTTTCTTAATGTTTGTAGCTCCACTAAAGTCCTTCAAATACACCATTGACATTAAAATCAATGCTTCAAATGAAGCCGTGATAGAGCGCTTGAGGGCGTTGATTCGTGGACAGAAATTCCCCATGTGTGTCAAGAAAGGCATGAAAATCTCCAGTGCAAACATCACTGCAGGTAGAAATATAAGCGGAGTAATACCTTTTGGGTTCATATTTATCTTTTCAATTATTCCTATGTGTTCCCTCCAAAATGCTAATAATTTGTTCCATTTTCAGTGTGTCTCTCAAATTCAAACAAAACTGAGTGCAAGTGTGAGAGTCAATACGTTTGGCCCTCTGAACAATGCTTTAAACATGGCGTTTGTGGCCACAGTCAAAATGGTACGTGTGGATGCATCACTTCTCTTCCAACTGAAGGAGCGTTCTGCCGACCAACACCTGGTAAAGAGTCTCTTTTTTTCAAATCCAAGTTGGCGAATGTGATCGTAACGTCTTATGGAGTTTAAGACCAGTGTATTATTCATGTCTTTTCTTAATGTTTGCAGCTCCACTAAAGTCCTTCAAATACACCATTGACATTAAAATCAATGCTTCAAATGAAGCCGTGATAGAGCGCTTGAGGGCGTTGATTCGTGGACAGAAATTCCCCATTTGTGTCAAGAAAGGCATGAAAATCTCCAGTGCAAACATCACTGCAGGTAGAAATATAAGCGGAGTAATACCTTTGTGTTCATATTTATCCTATCAAGTATTCCTATGTGTTCCCTCCAAAATGTTAATAATTCGTTCCATTTTCAGTGTGTCTGTCAAATTCAAACAAAACGGAGTGCAAGTGTGAGAATCAATACGTTTGGCCCTCTGAACAATGCTTTAAACATGGCGTTTGTGGCCACAGTCAAAATGGTACGTGTGGATGCATCACTTCTCTTCCAACTGAAGGAGCGTTCTGCCGACCACCACCTGGTAAAGAGTCTCTTTTTTTCAAATCCAAGTTGGAGATTGGTGTGATCGTAAAGTCTGATGGAGTTTAAGACCAGTGTATTATTCATGTCTTTTCTTAATGTTTGCAGCTCCACTAAAGTCCTTCAAATACACCATTGACATTAAAATCAATGCTTCAAATGAAGCCGTGATAGAGCGCTTGAGGGCGTTGATTCGTGGACAGAAATTCCCCATGTGTGTCAAGAAAGGCATGAAAATCTCCAGTGCAAACATCAATGCAGGTAGAAGTATAAGCGGAGTAATACCTTTGTGTTCATATTTATCTTTTCAATTATTCCTATGTGTTCCCTCCAAAATGTTAATAATTTGTTCCATTTTCAGTGTGTCTGTCAAATTCAAGCAAAACTGAGTGCAAGTGTGAGAATCAATACGTTTGGCCCTCTGAACAATGCTCTAAACATGGCGTTTGCGGCCACAGTCAAAATGGTACGTGTGGATGCATCACTTCTCTTCCAACTGAAGGAGCGTTCTGCCGACCACCACCTGGTAAAGAGTCTCTTTATTTCAAATCCAAGTTGGAGATTGGTGTGATCGTAAAGTCTGTTGCAGTTTAAGACCGGTGTGTTATTCATGTATTTTATTAATGTTTGCAGCTCCACTAAAGTCCTTCAAATACACCATTGACATTAAAATTAATGCTTCAAAAGAAGCTGTGATAGAGCGCTTGAGGGTGTTGATTCGTGGACAGAAATTCCCCATTTGTGTCAAGAAAGGCATGAAAATCTCCAGTGCAAACATCAATGCAGGTAGAAGTATAAGCGGAGTAATACATTTGTGTTCATATTTATCCTACATATTATTCCTATGTTCCCTCCAAAATGCTAATAATTTGTTCCATTTTCAGTGTGTCTCTCAAATTCAAGCAAAACTGAGTGCAAGTGTGAGAGTCAATACGTTTGGCCCTCTGAACAATGCTTTAAACATGGCGTTTGCGGCCACAGTCAAAATGGTACATGTGGATGCATCACTTCTCTTCCAACTGAAGGAGCGTTCTGCCAACCACCACCTGGTAAAGAGTCTCCCTTCATTTCAAATCCAAGTTGGAGATTGGTGTGATCGTAAAGTCCGATGGCGTTTATGACCAGTATGTTATTTCTGTCTTTTCTTAATGTTTGCAGCTCCACTAAAGTCCTTCAAATACACCATTGACATTAAAATCAATGCTTCAAAAGAAGCCGTGATAGAGCGCTTGAGGGCGTTGATTCGTGGACAGAAATTCCCCATGTGTGTCAAGAAAGGCATGAAAATCTCCAGTGCAAACATCACTGCAGGTAGAAATATAAGCGGAGTAATACCTTTGTGTTCATATTTATCCTATCAAGTATTCCTATGTGTTCCCTCCAAAATGTTAATAATTCGTTCCATTTTCAGTGTGTCTGTCAAATTCAAACAAAACGGAGTGCAAGTGTGAGAATCAATACGTTTGGCCCTCTGAACAATGCTTTAAACATGGCGTTTGTGGCCACAGTCAAAATGGTACGTGTGGATGCATCACTTCTCTTCCAACTGAAGGAGCGTTCTGCCGACCAACACCTGGTAAAGAGTCTCTTTTTTTCAAATCCAAGTTGGCGAATGTGATCGTAACGTCTTATGGAGTTTAAGACCAGTGTATTATTCATGTCTTTTCTTAATGTTTGCAGCTCCACTAAAGTCCTTCAAATACACCATTGACATTAAAATCAATGCTTCAAATGAAGCCGTGATAGAGCGCTTGAGGGCGTTGATTCGTGGACAGAAATTCCCCATTTGTGTCAAGAAAGGCATGAAAATCTCCAGTGCAAACATCAATGCAGGTAGAAGTAGAAGTGGAGTAATACCTTTGTGTTCATATTTATCTTTTCAATTATTCCTATGTGTTCCCTCCAAAATGTTAATAATTTGTTCCATTTTCAGTGTGTCTCTCAAATTCAAACAAAACTGAGTGCAAGTGTGAGAATCAATACGTTTGGCCCTCTGAACAATGCTCTAAACATGGCGTTTGCGGCCACAGTCAAAATGGTACGTGTGGATGCATCACTTCTCTTCCAACTGAAGGAGCGTTCTGCCGGCCACCACCTGGTAAAGAGTCTCTTTATTTCAAATCCAAGTTGGAGATTGGTGTGATCGTAAGGTCTGATGCAGTTTAAGACCGCTGTATTATTCATGTCTTTTCTTAATGTTTGCAGCTCCACTAAAGTCCTTCAAATACACAATTGACATTAAAATCAATGCTTCAAAAGAAGCCGTGGTAGAGCGCTTGAGGGCGTTGATTCATGGACAGAAATTCCCCATGTGTGTCAAGAAAGGCATGAAAATCTCCAGTGCAAACATCACTACAGGTAGAAATATAAGCGGAGTAATACATTTGTGTTCATAATTATCCTACATATTATTCCTATGTGTTCCCTCCAAAATGTTAATAATTTGTTCCATTTTCAGTGTGTCTCTCAAATTCAAGCAAAACTGAGTGCAAGTGTGAGAGTCAATACGTTTGGCCCTCTGAACAATGCTCTAAACATGGCGTTTGCGGCCACAGTCAAAATGGTACGTGTGGATGCATCACTTCTCTTCCAACTGAAGGAGCGTTCTGCCGACCACCACCTGGTAAAGAGTCTCTTTATTTCAAATCCAAGTTGGAGATTGGTGTGATCGTAAAGTCTGATGCAGTTTAAGACCGGTGTGTTATTCATGTCTTTTCTTAATGTTTGCAGCTCCACTAAAGTCCTTCAAATACACCATTGACATTAAAATCAATGCTTCAAAAGAAGCCGTGATAGAGCGCTTGAGGGCGTTGATTCGTGGACAGAAATTCCCCATTTGTGTCAAGAAAGGCATGAAAATCTCCAGTGCAAACATCAATGCAGGTAGAAGTATAAGCGGAGTAATACCTTTGTGTTCATATTTATCCTACATATTATTCCTATGTTCCCTCCAAAATGCTAATAATTTGTTCCATTTTCAGTGTGTCTCTCAAATTCAAGCAAAACTGAGTGCAAGTGTGAGAGTCAATACGTTTGGCCCTCTGAACAATGCTTTAAACATGGCGTTTGCGGCCACAGTCAAAATGGTACGTGTGGATGCATCACTTCTCTTCCAACTGAAGGAGCGTTCTGCCGACCACCACCTGGTAAAGAGTCTCTTTATTTCAAATCCAAGTTGGAGATTGGTGTGATCGTAAAGTCTGATGGCTATTATAACCAGTATGTTTTTTCTGTCTTTTCTTAATGTTTGCAGCTCCACTAAAGTCCTTCAAATACACCATTGACATTAAAATCAATGCTTCAAAAGAAGCCGTGATAGAGCGCTTGAGGGCGTTGATTCGTGGACAGAAATTCCCCATGTGTGTCAAGAAAGGCATGAAAATCTCCAGTGCAAACATCAATGCAGGTAGAAGTATAAGCGGAGTAATACCTTTGTGTTCATATTTATCCTACCAATTACTCCTATGTTCCCTCCAAAATGTTAATAATTTATTCCATTTTCAGTGTGTCTCTCAAATTCAAGCAAAACTGAGTGCAAGTGTGAGAATCAATACGTTTGGCCCTCTGAACAATGCTCTAAACATGGCGTTTGTGGCCACAGTCAAAATGGTACGTGTGGATGCATCACTTCTCTTCCAACTGAAGGAGCGTTCTGCCGACCACCACCTGGTAAAGAGTCTCTTTATTTCAAATCCAAGTTGGAGATTGGTGTGATCGTAAAGTCCGATGGCGTTTATGACCAGTATGTTATTTCTGTCTTTTCTTAATGTTTGCAGCTCCACTAAAGTCCTTCAAATACACCATTGACATTAAAATCAATGCTTCAAATGAAGCCGTGATAGAGCGCTTGAGGGCGTTGATTCTTGGACAGAAATTCCCCATGTGTGTCAAGAAAGGCATGAAAATCTCCAGTGCAAACATCAATGCAGGTAGAAGTAGAAGCGGAGTAATACATTTGTGTTCATATTTATCCTACATATTATTCCTATGTTCCCTCCAAAATGCTAATAATTTGTTCCATTTTCAGTGTGTCTCTCAAATTCAAGCAAAACTGAGTGCAAGTGTGAGAGTCAATACGTTTGGCCCTCTGAACAATGCTTTAAACATGGCGTTTGTGGCCACAGTCAAAATGGTACGTGTGGATGCATCACTTCTCTTCCAACTGAAGGAGCGTTCTGCCGACCAACACCTGGTAAAGAGTCTCCCTTCATTTCAAATCCAATTTGGAGATTGGTGTGATCGTAAAGTCTGATGCAGTTTATGAATGGTGTATTATATGTCTTGAATAATGTTTGCAGCTCCACTTAAGTCTTTAAAAATACCATCACAGGTAGAAGTATAAGTGGAATAATGCCATTCTAAATAATTATACCTGCATTTAAGCTCCAAAATCTTAATCTTTTTTTTTTTTCAATTTCAGTGTGTTTTTTAAAAATTGAACAAAACTAAAGAAAGTCTGGTAACACTTTAGTTAAAGTCCATTTCTCACAATTAACTAGTTGCTTATTAATATGTATATTACTAGGATATTGTTTTTTTATTAGTACTTAGCACATATTCTGCATGACCATATTCTACATCCCTTAGTCACCCAATACCCAAACTTAAAAACTACCTTATTAACTATTAATAAAGCACTAATTACAAAGTTAATGAGGCAAACGTCATAGTTAATAGTTTGTTAATAGTGAGAATTTTACCCAAATCGAAAGTGCGACTGAAAGTCTGTTTTAAAAAATCTATACTGACAATTAGTATGGTCGTAGAGTTTTTGACCAGTCGATTATTTTTGTTAGTAAAGAAGTCTCTCTATATCACTAGTCAAAAATGACAAATAATGTGATCATAGAGTTTTGTACCTTGTACATCCAACATGAAAGCCATCTGGTATTTTTTCACCTACTGTAGTTCCCATCATAGGGCTTCAATTTCTATGTTATCTGTCACTGTTTAGTGGAAGATTAATTAATCTTTTACTATTACTTTTTTAAATATTACTTGTACTTATTTTGATAGACATTAGTGTTTACATTGATGAATGGTATTTGAGAATCAAAGTAATGTAATCAGATTAATTTACATCTTTGCTTATCATAGGCTGTCCTTCCATACCTTCAACCAAAATCCCAAACACAAGTGTATCTTCAACATCTACACCATCAGTGCCAACAACAAACAATACAGGTATTACTTTTTTCAAAGCTTGCAACATATCCAATATGTTAATTTGTAAATTTGACTTAATTTTTGTAAATATTTTAGTCATGTGTAATGTTTACTAAAATGTAAAGTTTTTTTAGCATGGTGCCCACAATGGTTACTTTGTTCCCAAGTTGTCACGCATTCATTGTTTCTTAGACAACTGATAATTCGTGAAGAATTACAAGTGTTCTGCTAGTACATTTTTTTTAATAAAATTTAAAAAACTTCACATTAGGTATATTTATATGTAAATATAAAAAACACATCAGAACTTAAACACTCTTAGCAACGTTTTGTAATACAATTTTAGGTGTCGTTCTTAGACAGATATATATATATATATATATTAGGGCTGTGCAAAAGTTAATTGCGATTAATCGCATCCAAAATAAAAGTCTGTGTTTACATAATATATTTGTGTGTGCTGTATATAATTATTTTGTATATATAAATACCTATGCATGCATGTATATATTTAAGAATTATTTGCGCTTAAATTCTGTATATATTTATAAATACATAATCTATATAATATAAATATAAATATTTTATATATGAATAACACATTTTCTTAAATATATACATGCATGTGTGTGTATTTATATACTGTATACAAAATAATTATATACAGCACACAAAAATATATTATGTAAACACAGACTTTTATTTTGGATGCGATTAATCGCAATTAATTTTTGCACAGCCCTAATATATATAAATAAATTAATCGACTTTTTTATCAACAAAGTACTGTATGTCGCCAAAAACTAAAACCTTCAGAGATGTGTTTATCACTTGCCATGTTTACTTAGTGTGTGGTAGTTGCCAGAAGATATTCATTAGCTCTTTTTGATTTTGTAGATGTTACAAGCCGACCAACCCTAATCACAAACACAGCTGACAGTACAACAATAACAAGCAATATTAGTACAACAATGATAGCTGACAGTACAAACAATAACACATCTACTCCAACAGTAGAAACAACAAGTAAGTGATTATATAATTTTATTCACGTGGCGTTGTCACTAACAACTAGAATCTTAAAAGTTCGGTATTTTACAATTAAAGCCCTATTTTAAGATCATTTCTGATGAAATAGAATAGTTAAGATTGTTTTTTAGACAAATGCTACCGTCACGAGAATTTTTGGATTCTGTGTTAGTGCTGTTATTAGTGCTACAACAAAACCGGCAACAATTGAAAATACTGGAGTTCTGGTTTAATATACTATAACACATACTGTACATATTACACACACACAAAACTAAAATCAGTACAAAATCAGACAAAACTGACAGTACAACAATAACAAGGGCTCCAGCATCCACTCCAACAGTAGGAACAACAAGTAAGTGATCATACTATTCAGTTTACATGGCATCTTTGCTAAAAACTAAAGTCTTCAGAGGTATGTTTAACACTTGCCTTGATTTTGTGATGTTTCCTATCTGTCAGTCACTTTGACGTTGTGTGTAAAACTGACACTATGGGTCGCACTTGGTAGCCCTAAATACCTCTGATAATTTGAGAAAATTATCTGATCTGACAATTGTCTGATTTGTCTGATCATCAAAACCTTTGCTTTTCATAGAGTTTACTATCCCTTCAGCTCCAAACACAACTGAGAGCACAACAGCCGTGACAATTGCTCAGATGTCTACCTCAACAATGACAAGTGCTCTGATGTCTACCTCAACAACAGTAACAAGTAGGTGATCCTAAAAACCTCTTCATTTAGGACAAATGTTTCTGTGTGTGCTAAATCAGACTCGAGTTTATATTATTTATTTTATTTTTTTGTTTATTTCACTTTAATGTTCTTATTCGTATTGCTTGTAAATGTGTTTTTAAAATGGTAATTCCCCACAACAAATGCACTTACATTTCCAAATGATTTTATGATGTGAAATTTATGTAAACACAGTCAATTATGTGTTGGACAGCACAAAACATTGAACATGTTGAAATAGATCTGTGCATAAGTGTGAATACAACTTATTAGACCTGCTGCCATCTATGATGTTATCGGCAATACTCAAATGGCAATAATGCTGAGAAAAAGAGAAAATCCGACCAGATTATGAGATGTGCCTTCATAAGTGGCTGGGAACAAACTGGAGCTGACATAGTCTCTAGTTACCTTGGCGTCCTGAGATGGGCATCCTGTGATAAAGCAAATGGAAAATAATTAGCATAGCTGCTGTTCACAACATTTAATAAAAATAATCATGTGCATTCGATCTGATATAACTGGAGTACAAGGTTATGATATGCATTATGTGAATGCTTAGCTAAAGAGATGTGTCTTTAATCTAGAGTCTGAGCTCCAAACAATATCAGGAAGGCTATTCCAGAGTTTAGGAGCCAAATGCAAAAACGCTCTCCCTCCTTTAGTGGACCTTGGTACTACCAAAAACCCAGAGGTTTATCACCTATCAGAGCTTGATGGATTGTAGGGCGATAGAAGATTGGTTAAATACACAGGACCTAACCGTTTAGGGCCTTATAGGCCAGTAACAATATTTTGTAATTTGATAAGGAACTTAAAGGTGCTGTATGTAACTTTTTTTACTCTACTTAAGCATACAAATACCACAATATGTTTGCAGATATTTAAGAAACATGCTAAGTTCACATACCCGTTTCTCTGAAAAACACTTCGTCAGCAATATCTACCGTTATTTTACTTGTTATTTTACATGTTCCGTGTTGTCAGTCAGTTTTTGTGTTGGTCTGTGATCGTGGCCACTGCCAGTTAAACCAACAGTATTTCAACACCTTGGGATGCCAGTTGGCAGGAAACACAGCGTATTGAAGCCTTGGAAACAAGCAAACAAACTTGGTCAGAGATTGCAGATTCCACACAACCTAAAAAGCCTTTATATCCATCTAAAAACCTCTATGAATGAGAGCATGTTAAAACGCGGATAAATCAACACATCAACTCACACTGCGTAGGTCTCCTTGGCTTTCGTTGTCAATTGCACTTGTTCCTGTTGCAACCCATGTAAACATTGAGTCTGAGTAGGAGGGGGCGGGGAAAACAAATGTCTATGATATTTTCAATTTGGACTTCAATACCTTTTTTTCGCCCACTAGCTGTTATTCTTACAGACAGCAACTTTAAGGCGAGACACGGCATGCAAAAACATTGATTTTTCATGCAGTGATCAGTTTTGAGATTTTCGGCTAGATTGGTCCTTCAATGTGTTCTTTCAAGCTGCTATAAAGAAAACGTTGAAAATATACATTAAGACATTCATTTTGATTTTAATACATTTTGTTTACTTGCGGCAGTAATGAGCTATGATTTGTAAATTTGTAAATTGAATATAAATCCGATCTTCAATTTATGTCATCGAAACAACAGATTAGCTGCATTTTATTGATCTTCAGCTAATTGCAAGGGTAAGATCATTGACATTTAGTCTCACTATATTTTGTTATATTTTTGTTACCGAGAAACATACAAGGACAGATGTGAACATGTTAGAGCTCCAAGAAACATATACTACAAACATTGCTGAGTTTACATGTTTAAAAAAACGTTATTTTGAAAAATACTGGTAAAGGTTTTTACGAAAACATAACAATTTGTGAAACAACCATATGTTATGAACACACAACAACCATATACTGTATTTAATATATGGAATTTACATTTTAATGGAAAAATAAACCCTTTATTCTTAGGTCAAGCTACCACAACAAAAACCAACAACAACAAAAGCAACAACAACTCTACCAACAACAAAACCAATAACATCAAAGCCACGAGCAACACCGGTAACAATACCAGCAGCAACAACAACAACAACACCACTGTTTGGTAAGTACTGATTACACCAAAGGAAATCTAAAGACAAAGAAGTTTACTCCATTATAAATGTTATGGAAACATATATAATGCCTGAAATTAAAAAGATTTCTAAAATGAAAATTGGGTGCTTTTGGTTTGTTGGTGCAGATATTTTATAATTGAATATTGATTAATTCGATATCAGTTTTCCCACTCAGTTGTCTGACTATGAATCTTAACATAGTTGAGGTAAACCCATTTTGTGTCAATTTGACTAAACGTTAAAGATTTGTTATTGAGCAACATACAGAAGCATCACATATAAGCCACTGTCTCTAGCAGAAACCTAGTGTAAAACCTGAAAATTACTTTATCGACTGGAATGAAATTTTGTACGCAACATCTTTAACCATAATCCTGAGTGTATAATAACTCATAATCCTGAGTATAAGGACAATATATTGTGAAAAAAAAAAAAAATCTCCATTGTTCACTTCAATCCGTTTCAACGGCTATATCTATGAGATCAATATGGTAAAGATCAATATTACATTTTTGTTTGCCAATCCCAGTTATAACTTATGGCCCATGGGGTTATGGTCTTTTCATGCTTATGAAATCTGCTTGTATCATTATTTTGTTATTGCTTTGTCTTTTTCCTCCAGTAAAACGTCAGTTATCACTGTCAATAGACGAGATTTTTGATCTAAGCCTGAATAATCAGAACAGTGGCAAATTCAAGGAATACAAATCAAATATTGAGAAAGCAGTAAGTGTTAAATAAAAACATCTTGTACCAAATGTAATTTGAATAAAATATAATAAATGTTCCTGTGTTAGGGTATTAAGTCAGCCATATAGTAAAATTCTCATGTGTTATTTGTCAAGAGACTGTAATTAGAAGAATATAAAGAGAAAAGGGCTTGAAATTGTAGCATTTAAAAACAAAAGCTGTAAGAACATCATTGTAATAAAACAATATTAAAAGAATTATATTTTTAAAATATTTAAAAATATTTTTATTTTTACTTTTTCTCATGTAGATCAATAACAGCTTCAAGAAAGTAAAAGGTTTCATTTCTTCTACTGTCACTGGTTTTAGGTATGATATTTTTTCTCCTTAAGAATTTTGCTTTGCTATGGTCATTGTACTTTTGTTTGTTCAAATGCATAATAGACATTTTCCTGTATCTTTTTGTGTTTGATCAGGCCTGGGAGTGTGATCGTAGACTTCTTTATTACATCAGTTGAGGTGATACCGATTACTGAGGAGATAAACCAAGCAATTTTCACCAACATGAAAGACGTCAACAATTTCAAAGTTGATCCAACTTCAATCGCTGAAACTGGTAAAAGATTATGCTGTACTTTTCTGTAGAACAAATATGCAACATTGTGTCAGATATGCAAGAGACAAAAGACATTTTTCAAAATAATGTTTTTTTTTAAACATCACAGCAGTGTTTGTACTATATGCTTCTTGGAGCTCTAACATGTCCACATCTGTCCTTGTATGTTTCTAGATAACAAAAACCTGCGAACAAGAGATCCTGTTTTTCCTGAACAAGATATAACACTCTCCTGCCCTGACAACCCCCTTGGAAATGTAGACTGGAAATTTCAAGGAGAAATCATACAGCAAAGCAGTCGTTATGTGTTTTTATTAGAGCGTCGCTCCCTCGTGGTCAAGAATGTTACCATCAAAGATAACGGTGAGTCTTTGCGCCCATGGCAGATCAAAGCTGATGAAATATTAGATATTATATATATATTATATAGAATATTATCTCAATCACAAAAGAAACTGTAGCTCCCTCTCTTTTCCTCCACTGTCGTCGCTCCTGCAGTGTGCTTCTCAGGTGTCACTCACTTGCACTCATTCCTCTGGTCTCTCTCTCACAGCTATCAGGCCCGCTCTGGGGTGCGTTTCCTGAAAGCATCGTTAGCCAACTATGGTCGCAAGTTCCGTCGTTATCAGCATAGTTCAACGAGTCGGTGTTTGCCGAAACAATCGTTTCAACGAACATTCGCAAACAGAATCGCAAAGTTGTGTGGTTTGAACGACAGCTCTCGACCTGTGGTTAGAGGCATAGTTTCTATATTGCATCACATTTGGACGTAATAAATCCTTATCTTGAGCAAAATAAGCAAGCTGACCAACCGGTGCCTTTTATTTTGAATACATACAAATGTAATTTACGTCCTTTAGTTTTTCAAAATATTTAGAGTAGCCAACTGAATTTGAAGAGTGCGCATGTGCGAACGTGCTCTACTATGTAAGAATGAGCCAAATATTGAGTCTGGTAATAAAGCAGAACAACTGAGAATAATTAGAAATGGTCCTCAGATGACCTGTCTGTAATTTATATATAAAAAAATCTAGTGTTAATTGGATCTCAAACAATTTCATATTACTTCATCACGTGCAAAACCAATGTGGTTGAACGAAACTTTGCGACAATGGGTTTCGGGAAACAGTCGTGACGATCTAGTTGATTTCTCCAATGATGCATCGTACTATGGTGGGATATAACTAGCCTACTTTTAATGAAATTATTTGAGATCCAATTAATGCTAGATTTTTTTTATATAAATTACAGACATGTCATCTGAGGACTATTTCTAATGGTTCTCAGTTATTTTGCTTTATTACCAGACTCAATATTTGGCTCGTTTTTACATAGTAGAGCACGTTCGCACATGCGCACTCTTACACGTTACTTTAAATCTTTTGACAAACTAAAGATGTAAATTACATTTGCATGTATTCTAAATAAAAGTCAACATTTGTAGGGTAGACTGTTACATTTGAGACACGTTTTGATTTTTCACACAAAAATAGATACTGAAAAGACGTGAATTTCCAAAAGACATGCCACATGACATTTCATTAGCTTGTAGACTAAGATATTATCAATCAATATTACTCATAGTCATAAGTAGTTTATATATTTCCACAATTAGCTCATAAAAATGGTGCTTTTTGTCTCAACTTTGTCTCAACTGTACCCATACGACCATAGTTGGCTAACGATGCTTTCGGGAAACGCACCCCTGCTTGGCACAATTCAAATAAATAGCATTTTTTTTTAATAAAATTGTTCATTTTTAATAATTAGTAACTATTGTTTTTTTCCATCTAAATATCCAATTAATCCAAAAAAAATAATAGACAGATTAATCAATTTTCAAAATATTAACTTTGAATGAAAATCTGTTTTAACCATTCTCATGTCTTTGAAGCTGAAATTAAATGTATGTCTGATTTTGCAGGTTTGTACGAATGTGTGTACAATACAGCCACAGGGCTGCATATTACTTGGGACAGGATTGACTACATTAAGCCGAATCCTAGTATGCAAGTACCTACTAATAAAGCATACAACTGTGAAAATCGCCAGGTTGAGCTGGTCTGCTGTGTGCATTCTGATTACTCCATTCAGTGGGTGCAGGACAAAAAAATGCTGAGCAGCGGTAAGTATCAGAAATGGAAACAGTCCTTTTGTAATTTTTTACAAATTCAGCCTTAAAACCACAATGGGACAATTGTATTTATTTATTTTTGATTGACGTATGTAAGTAGCCACATCTGTGATGTCTTTCATCTTCATCTTGTATTTCCAGAAACTGATTCACTGAAATGTATTACACAACAGTTTAATATCTTGAGTGAAAGTTCATGTGGGAAAAAAAGCATATTCACCTGCAAATTGAACAATACAGATCTACTTGGATTCGCATACAGCTCAAGGACTGTGGAACTATTTGTTTTCAACCCTCTACCCCCAGACAGCAGTAAGTTCAAGTTCTGTTTCCACCAATTCAACGCCGTCACTGGAATTCACAGGGTCCAGAGTACCATAGATGTGGAGCCTTTCATTCACCCACAGTGATGACTCTAGGCCAACATGTTATGACATTATTAACTCACATAACATATTATGTTTTATAAATCAGTTATTAGTAGGCCTATACATAATTGTCTGCTTCTTTTCATAGCTGTCACATGCTTTGATCAAGTGTATGGTTTTGGAAAATTTCGCGATCCGCCTGTGCTGGGAGACTGTGAGAAAAATGAAGTCGGGTTCAGAGAAGGAGTGTGTCAATCCAATGGCTTTTGGAAAACTGTAAAGGACGAATGTGTTCTTCGTATCATTGATGCACTGAAACAGGAATCAAAGGTTTGCTTTTCAGTTTTACTGCCTGCCATGTTGCTTATGTAACACCTCCGGTCTTACTCGACCCACTCCAAAAAGATCTCGAACTGGCTGGTACGCTAACAAGTACACTAAGGGCCAATCTCATTTCTCTGTTTTACCCCTTCCCCTTTGTCTGCGTCTTCCCCTTGCCCCTCAATACCGAGTGAAAGGGGGTAGGGGTGAGAACGTTCCTCTAAGAAATGAGACACCACTCGATTACCGTTTGCGTCATCTTCCCTCGCCGCTATAGCTGTCAACAGGTGTCAACAGAGGTGACAAGTGTTGACATACCGGTAAACAAACGATGCTGTCGTCTCATGTTGTGTTATTAATTGCCTGGGCTCTCTCTTTGCACGCTTAGGTGCCATGCCATCCATAGAAAATTGTTTCTCAGACGCATACGACTGCTTACGAATCAAATGGTACGTATGTTTCACTGTATTGAACGGCGGCGTAAAGTTAATAAAATAATATGAAGTGTCATATCAAGGATTATCAGATAGCTCAGCTCGACAAATAGTGCATAGCTGCTAGCGGTTTACTACCGTTTCAAAACAAAAACATTACAATTAAAACCGCTTGAACAACATTTTATTCAACATTTTATTTATCATAAAACACGAGCGTCATAATACTTACATTTGTGCGACTGCTTAACAGTTCGACGTTCAGCCATAATAAAAAAAACTTGATGCCGGCACTTTTGTTACCCCTCTCTTTCAAGTTTGGTCCTCAGCAAACTTCGTTTCAAGGGCTATGTAGCCCTACGCCTTGGCCCTTGCCCTTAATCAAAATGAGAATTGGGACACCACTTCCCCTCACATGAATGCGCAAAACCAGTAAGACAGAGAAATGAGACGCAGCCTAAAAACTTCAGTCTCTAGTGTCAGTTGCTAGTGCGCCTCTTGAGATCAGGGGAGTGAGGTTTACACCCACAGCTCTTACTAGCTGGCCTCTGTTACACTTTGTTACATAAAGCACAAGAAGTCTATTACCCATGTATCACAATACCAGTTATATAGTGTAAAATATTAGAGAAATACATATTTTCACTGAGGAAAAAAAAGTGTTGTATAAAGTTTTTTCACTCAGAAATTGCTAGTACATTTTACAAATAATTACAAAGAATTGGCAAGTAACACATTGTATTAAATGTGAGATTCTGAAGTAGAAAGACAAAATAGTATTTACTTGTAAAACTCCAATAATATTTGTTTTATTTAAAACGTCTTAAAGGAATTTTTTAAGTGTATCCATTTTTTTGTAAATACTTGTATGTTGATCATCTGAAAGATGAAATGGGGAAAGTGATATTTGCTAATGACACAATTATCACTCAATCCAGGAGCAAACCTTTCTTTTTTTGTTGTTGCTTAAACCTTTATTTGTTTTCTTTTTCAAAAGGTTGTGGGTCCTGCAACTTTAACAGATTTTGTGATTAAATTGACAAATGCCACCAGAGCCAATTTCGTAGATGTAGTTCAATCTCAAGCTACAGTTTCAACAATTGTGGAAATGCTAAACGAAATTGCAGTCATCTCCCAAAATACTTTGCTGGATGAAGTTGTGTTAACGGTAAGCTCAAATTTATTGACGTTATACTTTGTTACTTGATTGACTGTATTGCTGTGGTTATGGTGAATCTAGTATTTTTATTTCATGCAGCTGTCTTTCAAAGCTAAAATTGAGCCTCTAATATTAATTTTTAGGTCATCTAAATGCGATGACTTTTAACATTTTCCAATCCCACATCATTTATCTTCCAGAATTTCCTCAATATCGTGGATGTCATTTCATCAGAGTCAGCGAAACCTGTATGGGTAGGGTTAAATTCAAATGCCGCAAGCCAAGGCGACAGCTCTCAACTCCTGAATTCCATTGAAAATGTTATAAAAGCGATATCAGACACAAACTTCAACATAACGAGTCCATCCAACTCATTCCTGTTCAAAAAAGTAACAACATCCGTAGACTATAGGGATGTATTGAGGCTCAACTCAACCGCTGAAATTTTCATCCCAGATATTACATCTACTCATAAAAATATTACCATCACAGCAGTGGCCTTTTCTTCCTTGGGCAACGTTTTGCCTGCAAGAAATCGGACAGATAACCTAAATGAGACTGAAAATGTCATCAATGGACTCATTGTTATAGTGAATACAAGCAAACCTATTAACAAAATAGAGCTGAGCTTTGAAAAACGCAGTAATACAGTAGCTCGTAACAATAATTCAGTAATTTTAGGGAACCCTCAATGTGCTTTCTGGGAATTTAACCTATTTAATAGGACTGGAGGATGGGACTCAACAGGATGTGAGGTCATAAGGATAAACGGCAATGTCACTTGTCGTTGTAATCACACCACTTCATTTTCAATATTGATGTCCCCTTATGCTCCTGACGATCTCTCCTTGGCTGTCATTACGTATGTTGGTGTTGCCATTTCGATAGCCAGCTTGGTTGTGTGCCTGTTCATCGAAATGATCATCTGGAAGGAAATATCCAGAAACTCAACGTCATATTTACGGCATGTATGCTTAGTCAATATTGCTCTTTCTCTCCTGATCGCTGACATATGCTTCATTATCGCGGCTGCTATCGCAAAGCCCGGGGAGGACTATAATATTAACTCGTGCAGCGCTGTAGTGTTTTTCACCCACTTCTTCTACCTGGCCCTCTTCTTCTGGATGATGGTCTCAGCCCTTCTGCTCCTCTACCGCACCATCATGGTGTTCTCTCAGATTTCCACATCGTTAATGATGGCGATTGCCTTCATCGTGGGCTATGGCGCACCTCTCCTCATCTCAGTTATTACCGTCGCCTCCACCAGTGGAAGTCAAGCATACGTCACACAGAATGGGACATGCTGGCTGAACTGGGACATTTCCAGGAACCTTCTGGCCTTCGTCATACCAGCTCTGGTCATTGTGGCGGTCAACATTGTTGTCATAATTATAGTCGTGGTGAAAATGCTCAGAGGAAGAGTAGGAGAGAGCAACAGAGGTGAAAAGAACGTCTTGGTGGTCATTCTCAGAAGTGTGGCCATTTTGACGCCCCTCTTCGGCATCACATGGGGTCTCGGATTGGGCATTGTGATAGAGCCTAAAGCTTTGGCCCTCCATTACCTGTTTACAATCTTCAACTCCTTGCAGGTATAATTGATCACTTAGATATAAATCTTAAGAATCAATTCATTTAAAGATATTCTTGGTTCAGTAGTGAAGCTCGATTATCTATCTAGTTGATTTCAAGCTTACTGTGAGGCATGCCAGTCCATACAGTTTCACTAATATTGCCACAACACGTAAACACAATAACTGTTAAAGGGATAGTTTTGCCCAAAAATGAACATTTTGTCATCACTTACTCACCCTCAAGTTGTTTCAAACTTTGTGTTTCTTTCTTCTGTTGAACACAAAAGAAGAAATTGTAAAGAATGTTGCTAATCAAAGAGTTGACGGTAGCCATTGATTTCCATAGTAGTTGAAAAAAAATAATATGGAAGTCAATAGAGCCCAACTGTCTGATTACAATTTTTTAAATACATTTTTTTAAATCAACAGAAGAAGAAAAATCATACAGGTTTGGAATAACTTGAGGTGATGACAATTAAAGTTTTTGGGTGAACTCCTTTAACATGATAGTGTGAAAAAAGTTATATAGGTTTACGCCTTTGTTGACATGATAACATGACAATGCTGTAAACCCTAAAACAACTGCTAAAATTATTTAAACAACTTTAATCAAAAATTTTCTAATTCTTTTTCTATTTTACACTAAGAATATACTTCAACATAAAAATCCTACTAAATACAAGACAGTAGGGATTACACTCAGATGTCGCTTCATTGCAACTTTAAAGAATTCAATATTATGCCACAAATGCTTCTACTGAACCTGGAATATTCCTTCAAAGAGTCATATATTTCACATTCAAACATTATTACAGTTTATTAGAAAAAAACAACTAACTTGTATGACCTGTTGGCTAATTTCAGGGCTTCTTAATATTGGTCCTTGGATTACTGATGGAAAAGAAGGTAAGAGCTGGGTTTCTCGCTTTATAGGCTGTTCTTGACATTACGTTCCAGTTATTTGTTGTCTGAGACACTTTATTTTTTCCCCAAAAGGTTCGGGAGACACTTAAAGCGAGATTCACTAGACTCACTGGATCCCGTGCCTCATATGTAAACACATTTTCCTCATTTGTTTCCTTCAAGTTTTTCATGAAAAACACGTTTATTGAAAACACAATGCCATCTTTCCTATTATAGAGCCTGGAAGCCAACACCCACAGCAGTTCTTCCAACAGAACGACTCTCACGGATGTTTTCAACACCATTCTGAGAAGAGGCAGGAGTAAGTTGAATGTCACTGTTCTGCACTCTGATGATTTCTAATGCATATTGCCTGAACTTTTATTGTAATGATCTTATGTTTTACAGATGCTAGGGCAAATATAAACTCCTCAAACAGCCACGAAAGTTTTCTGAACGCTTAGCCGGACAGAACAGACGGACGGCTTAATTTCCTGTTCGAATGCTTCTCTATCGCAGTGCCTCGGGCACAACTTCTAACTGAGAGTGTTTGATTTCTGTCTAGACTTCTTGAACTATACATACAATCCCTTCCTGAATGCTACAACTTGAATATTAAGTAATTTTCTGTTTTCTATTGGTCAACCAGATTGGCCAAGTTAGATTAAAACATCTATTTTTGATCTGTACACACTGTTTTATGAAAATGGAAATTCAGTTCTGGTTTCTGTTTGAACACTGTTTACTGTACCAACACTTTATCCTTCCTCTCTATTAAATCCATCAATGAATAACACTTGTTTCAAATGTCATTATTAGTGGTGCTTGCCAAATCAAGCATCCTGGTTATTTTGGGGGAAATCTGATTTGAAAGGTTTTCTTTTTAGAAGAGAGAAAAACATTAATCCTACATAATGATTTTTTGTTGTTGTTGTTGTTTTTTATTAAAACAATAAGGCATGCTTTTCATTTTTTCCCTCAAGGAACACACGGCATGAAACTTCTCTGTAATCCCAATTTGGTAACACTTTATAATAACAACAACATGCTGCTATGAATCATTAATTAAGCATTAGTAAATAGTTAATTCATTATTTATAAAGGATTAATAGAAATTAATAAGCAGTTTACGAATACAGGATTTATAAGCATATGTGTGTGTGTGTGTGTGTGTGTGTTTAATAATTGTATTTTCATACTTTATTAATTACCAATTTATCATAACTTTTTAACTTTTGCTAGGTATTGTGATTAATTGTTTTGTCATTTTGCCTCCACGTTTCCCCGATTGCTCGTGAGCTTGTCCTCCTGTCCATATCCATACGGTAATCTCTCATACTGTGCAACAGAGAGTCGCTTGGTTATGACGCAATCGTTAGCCTACTTTTACAAAAAAACTGCTTTTACGGGCCCATAATATAAGCTACAAGGTAATAAAGCATTTTATACATTGTCGTGTTTCTTTACAAATAATAAAATAAAATAAATAATGGACAAATGGAGTCTTCAAACGCCTCAGATGTAAAGTTATTGAGATATAAAGTTATAAAGATGTAAAGATGCAAAGTGACGCCAAAATGAATGGGAGTCAATGGAAATGCTAACGCAAGTGAAGTTCTGCTACAAGATGGCGGCACCCGGCCGGCTTCAATTTCCGGATTACCACCTTGTGCAAAACAGGAACCAAACACAGCAAGTGAACACAGAAACAATGGGAAACTAAGAATATACTTAAACATAAAAGTCCTACAAAATACAAGACAGTAGGGATCGTGACACATTAAGTGTTGGCACTGGTAAATTTATATTAAGCAATGTTTACATTTTACAGAAATGTATTTTTATATAGATTGCAAAGGCTTAGTTGTACCGCACAGCAATGTTTTTTTGGAAATGTGCAGGACATTTTATTTATGACATTGAAGAGGTTTATTTTTATTTTATAGCAAGTTACGTTGTACAGTTTCATTTATGCATCTTTAAATAAATACTTGTTCTGTATCATGCGTTGTGTTGGTTTTCTTTTTCTGTTTAGAAGATATCTCTGAGCCTTTAAATCTCCTCTGGAAAAGCTTTACGAGATGTAAATTGTAACGTCACCAGCTGGAGTGCCCTTGAGAACCACCAGAGGGCACTCCAGATTAGACTATTATCACTCACAAACTACATTTCCCATAACTCACTCCTCGGACTCATCTTCACTGATCACACTCACCTGTACCTAATTCACTGATTGCATTCACCTGTGTCTCATCCTGTTAGTCTGTCTATATGTTCATTCATTCACTCACTGCTCCTGTTTTACTGTTGGTTGCAATTCTGAGTATTATCCTCCTGAGTTTGACCTGTGGATTGTTTATCGTTGCTGACCCTTCTCTGCCTGCCCTGACCCTGGACTGTTTCACTGGACTCTGATTCTCTCTGCCTGCCTCGACCCTTCGCTTGTAACCGGTTTGTCTCTGCCTTGCCTCCATTATAAATGATGAGTAAACAATTTAACTAATGATTCATTGGAATTGTTAGTTTAACATGAATAAAGAGTTTAGAAAGTTAATCTCTACATTAATACAACAGTAATTTCAAACAAAATACATTTGCATTCCTTTTTTTATTCTGGGAGTAAATTTTATACAAATCTGTCAATAAATAAACATCTTATACAAATACATTATGGTTTACATCTTATCTTTAACAGTAGCCTATCTGCTTATGGTTGTGAAATAAATAGCCTATGTGCGCTAACACAGTACATTCATTACTGAGGCAACGTATGATATTTTCTTATGGATAAACAAATTCATCTTGATGGTTCTACATGCAGTTTCTTTTAAACATTTTAAATAAAGTAAATAACAATGTTACAGTACCCTTACAAGTATCGAGTAGCACAGTTGTAATTAATATAAAATTGCTTTGTTGAACAACCTGCATTTTCCAACTGTAATTGATATTTAATAAGTCTGTTCATGGAGAACGTTACGTGTCACACAGTGTTTATTCACAGCCGTTCTCGCTCTGTCCTCTAGAGGGAGCTGTGCCTCTATGTCAGTCTGAAGAGTTTCGTCCTTCCGGTCTAGCCCAATAAATTAAACAGAGTTCTCAGAGCCATAGTTCTTGTAGGGTGGAGATGACTTTCGACACCTGTGAGGTAAAATAACATAATATTTAATCATCATTCATACAGTGAATGACACGTAATAATACTGCAAATAAACAACACGTATGTGTTATTTGTATGATACAAGACTAACGTTAAATTTACCTTTTCCGTATGCAGAAGTACGCAAGTCCAAAGATGGCTCCCAGTAATAAAACTACACCACAGCTAATTCCAATGAGTTCTTCGGGACTTGAAAACTTGTGGCTGTCCAAAAGTAAATGTTCACAGCGCACACCACTGTACATGTTGTTGCACCTAAAGGCAGTGGAAATCATGTTTGTCAGGATGTAATCATGTTGACAAGTATAAAAAGGGGCTTGTTGACTAGAATTATTGCCCTGCACACTAAAAAAGAAGCCATTTTTACTCCGAATTTGCTGGTAAATTTCACAAACCATTAAAAAGAAATAGCAAAGTAACACGTAAATAGTATTTGCTTGTAAACCTACACCAATCATATGCTTTATTTACATAAAAGAGTATGTTGATTCTTAGTATAAAAAGAATATTTGGGTGGGACATATCCAAAGGAATTCCATTTTCTACAAGGATGTATCTGCATAACAAGCTTTGCAACTTGCTAGTTTGCTAATTAAACAAACATGAACCAGAAAATCAAGCAGTTCATCATGTTCTAATTGATTTGGTCTTTAATGTATGGTTATAGATGAGCTGACTCTGGTGGCTGGTCTCACCGGCAGATGGGGGTTTCCAGTTCGGTGGAGTAGGAACACACACCATTGAAACAGAATCCCTCATGTTCTGGACTGCAGTGTGTTTGAACTGCCAAAACCCGTGGTTGCTCTTCTTCACTACCTACTGATAGACACACACACCCAGACAGTTTTACTGGCTACACGTGAAAGGACGGTGAGTTTAACTGATAGGTATTTAGACTTGTGTCCACATGCCAAAGAACCTGCATCTTGGCACAATGCATATTTAAATGACATGTTTGCATATTTCATGTATTTAAGTTCTGATTTGAGATTAAATAACAGTCTTTTGAACAATTTAGCACCTGAAATATTAAGAACGACTTTAAATAATATTTCACAATACTGTTTTTACTTGGACTTCTTTCAAAAACATCAATGGTATCACTTTACAATGGTTCATTAGGTTAAATTATTAACTACCTTAGTTAACATGAACTAAGAATGAACAATACTTCTTAAGCATTTATTAATCTTAGTTAATATTATATTAGAAAACTATGAACAGCTGTATTTTTATTTACGGTCACAAATTGCTCATTGTTGGTTAATATATTAACTATTGTTAGTTAATATATTAGGGTACTTACCACCATGTGTTGTGTTGTATTGGAGCACATCATCTGAAATCTCCTTAGTGTCTCCAAGTCCAGAGAAGAGGACTAAAACCATCAATCCAAGTACTGGTGGAGTTTTAACAAAACATTGAAGTAACTATAAATGTCCCCCTTTACTGTCTTTAGAAAACAATACATTTGTTGTAAGATCCTAAAAAGTATATTCGGACTCACCCTGATAGTGCAAACCCCTTTTATCCACTTGTGTCATGCTGTGGCCCAAAGTACTGATTCGATCTGACTGGAGATTCTGGGTCTGCTCGGCTTTCGTCAAACTTCGGCTGCTCTTCAGGTAAAAGGTTTTTCCCTCACAATTTATATCATCCTTATCCTTTTGTTCGTCACTAATGGTAGCCAATCATTTGAACAGGTTACAGGAAGTGCAGAGAATGTGGACTCTTTTAGGCATACCTGTATTGCTCTGCATCCCTTCCTTGTCCACAGGCAAGCATCGTGCACAGACATGTTTTTGGTTTTTTCTTTCATTGGCTAAAATATTTGCCAGCAGCTGCAAAAACAGACTCTTACTTCCTGGCACAAGAGATATTAAAGGCAAGTCTAATAACAGATACAAAGTATTACTTTAAGTGTTAAATCTGTTTTAGTGACTGCCATGTCCCATTACCCTCCTGAACCATAATGAATAGCCATGGGTATTCCAATTTTTACAAGTTTTTCTGAGCATTACTCTGTTTTTTTTTTTTTTTTTTATTAATTATAATTAGTAATTCATTCATTTGTATCTTTCTGAACACTGCATTCTCCATTATATTTGACTGTTACTGGTAATAATTAGACATCATATTTAGCTGTTGAATGCACAAAACTGGCAAAAGTTTGATAATTTTAAATGATTAATGTGGGAGGACACAATTTAGCAATGATTAAACAAATATTTTAATGATTTTAGAAGATAATCAAGAGTAACTTCCATCTCACCAGCAAATTGGATGTTAAGTCACATAAGCATGACTCTAGATTTCTCTAATGTCTAATAAAATAAAAACTATAATCAGATATGGATTTGATATGTTGACAATATCCATCGCAATGTTTTCACACACAAAAAAGTGTTCACCCTATTGATCCGGTTACACTTTCACCCAAAAGTGAAAATAATATCATCATTTGCTCAACCTTATGTCCATCAAAACCTTCTTTCTTCTGCAAAACAGAAAAGATTGAAGGACGTTGGTAACCAACCCATTTTTTTTTGTAATTGGCTTCCATTTTGTGGACAAACCCCCAATATCTTCTCAAAATATCTTATTTTAAGCCAGTTTCACAAAGAATAGTCTATTGTCCAAGACTAAAATGCATGTTTGACCTGTTTTACCTGAAAGCAACTTGCACTAGCATATCCTGAAATATATCAGTGCCATTGTTTTGTCTCAAGATGCACATCAATAGTTTTTTTATTTATTTATTTTTTTTCTAAGGCACGTTTTAAAAAAAGCTACTTAAATCCCCAAACTGAACGAATGCCTAATCCTGGCTTAATCTAAGATCTGTCTGAGAAACTGGGCCTTTATGTTCTACAGATACAGGTTCTACAGATACAGATACGGGTCATACAGGTTTGAAACAACTTAAGTGTGAGGAAATGATGACCTAAATGTCATTTTGGGGTGAACTATCCCTAGACTTTCCAGGCTACAAGAAACGTTTCAGTAACACTTTGTTTTAATGGTCCACTTTAGAGATTCTAACTATAAGTAACTTTGCAACTACTTGCCATCTTATTCTACTAACTCAAACCTAACAGTCTAATACTGTACTCTAATGAGAGTTAGTTGACATGTATAGTTGAAAAGTTGGCACAAACAACTTTGACATTACTTTAAATGAATTTTTATGTTTCACAGCCAATAGGGCAAAACATGTCCACCTTATAAAACATAATAGGAAAGCCTCAGATATATTTAATTCAATGTTTTCTTTTGTTTTATTGGCAGTCTGGATGTAAAGGATCCAAAATGCAAACACATAATAATAATAATAAAGAAACTGTTTGACAAGAACATACCATAAATAAAGAAATCAAATAATATTAAATATATGATGGCGATAAAAAATATAAATACAAGCTTTATATACACAAAAACACCCATTTCTGCATAATAAACAATATGTATAAATAATAGCTTAAATAGTTAGATGAATAAATGCATATTAAATACAGCAGCATCCTTTTGTTATTGTTTGCCATTTTGTTGTTCTGAATTCAAATGACATTGTTAAAATAATTTCCTGAGAAAACGTGTTAATATCCTTTATTTCCCCACGTCTCCCTCAGTGTGGACTGATTCATCTGTGGGATATCTGAGAACCATCTATTACCCTGCCATGAGGCCACCTGCTGAGCAGCCGATCAAGTGCTACCGAAACTCTCAAAGACTTCCGTCCCCACTGACGCATTGCCAGGGAGGTAATATTACACTAGCACGATAAAACCCATTTTTCTCTGCAAAATAATAACACTGTAGCAAGGGCAACGGCGTGGAGGCATCTCTCTAATCTTTCCAGAGGGAAGAAAAGAATTAGGGTGTAGTTCGTGTCACGGATATGCATGGCTGCCGAGCCAGCTAGAAGAGCCTGTTACAGCTTGCGGATGGGTAGGAAAGGAAGTTGTAGGGGAAGCTTGCCGGAGCTTGTGTTTATAATCAAGACATGGACAAATAGTGCCAATTAAAGTATCTAGACGGTGAAGTGTTTGCATCTTGTCCACCTGACCTATGGTTTTGTTTGTGCTCAGTATGTTGGGGCATTTTTGGCAGCTGTGACGGTGTTTTTCATCACCATGGCTATGGTCATTGGACCGACTCCTCCAGGCACAGGAGTGATGAATGTAGCCTTCTCCTTCACAGCTGATTAAAGAGACAAAAAAAAAAAAACACATCTTAAATAACACTGATAACTCTGCCTGAGACAAGTATTTCTTTTATACTCCTAGAGAATAAACTATAAATCGTGTTGCTAAGCGGATACTGTAGCCAACGAGCACACAATGAACTCGAAACAGAGCCTAGAGGGATTGAGAAATTATATAAGATACACCGAATGACGTTCTTCATTTTAAAAGAATAAATCATTTCACTTTCTCACTTCCTTTTGAATACAGCTTTATGTGAGAAAGTCTGAATTATAAATTGACATTATTGACAGCAAACTTTGACGTCCACCATAAGTCCAATTTATGGACAAAACCTTTTAAATCAGATCTTTTCAATAAATCGGCTGACTCATGGGTCACAAAATTTGAATGGTTCAAATCACCAATTTCCTTCACTTCAGGTGAGGACAGGTATGTACTATTTCACATGAAGCAACATACACAATACTAAAAAAAGGGTGTGCTCGCTTAGGCAGTTTGCATCTTTTTTCTCTGAAATGTGTCACTTGTTTTCAGTGGCATTGCATAGATCGTCATTTTTACGTTAAAGGGGTCCTGAACTGGGAGTTGTTTTTTTCCAGTTTATAATATTTTCTAAGGTCCACTTATGATGTTATCATATTTTTTTACAACATAATTTAGTAATAGTAAATATAGCTATTTAAAAATGTTCATTACACGTGTGGAAGTGTTCTGAAAACTTACAATGTTGAAAACATCTATTCATCTATTATGCATTTAACGTGCTTTATAAGTTTAAGTATAGCCTACTTAGAGTTACTACCATTATTGACAAATGATAACTTGCAGTCTATTGTATAAACCGATTTATAAATGAATGTATCAATATTTTTCACACTGTCATTCTTATAGGCTATTCGTAGTTCATCCTTTTCAGTGAAAAACGTCATTTCCATTCTTGTGTAATGAAACATGTTGTAATTTCTTACTAAAGACAAAACAGGAGATGACGCTCACTGAAGCTTTAATTCAGGATTACAGCAAATGGCTTCGATCAAAACCATTTGAAAAAAAAGCAGCGTTCTATGTGTGCTTTCTTTCGTATCCGATAATCCAATGCATTTATCCAATAAATGCAGCAGAAAAAGCAGCAAATTACAACTATTCTGTTTAACTGTGGCACTAAATACTCAGTACAGAACTGATCTGTAACAGACAAAACAATAGTGACGCATGGTTGAAAATAAACAGTTACCGAATCAGTTATCGGATCCAATGTAATGCTGCATCATCATTCGTCGAACTGTATCTTTGTTTAAAAAAACGAATCCGCAGTAAAATTAAGCCAACAAACGAATTGTGTCTTATTGATGCAATCTAACAGGAACTTCATGAAAAATATAGTTCGTCAATGCTTTCTTAATGTTCGGATCACAAGGATGGCAATGCAAAGACTGTTTTTCCACAACTTGGCCACTTCAAAGGTTCTTGATATGCTCAGCGGCATCTCTATGGTTTTGTTGCTGGAGTAATCCTGCGTTTGCATCTGTCTTGTATTTACGACTACATGATGTGCGTGAATCAGTGGGCGGGGCTAAAGAGGCAATGATGTAGAAGTGTTGATCTTCTTCTGCAGAGGCAGTCTTTCATCACACTATGATGCAATAATGTGACAAAATCCGAAACGAGCCATTTTCATAGCTTTGTTTTTGGACTAATGACAACGTTTTGAGTTCTAAAACTTATGCCTGCTTTAGATTACACTTTTTTTGTCTGTTACAATAGTCACTGTGTCAGATTACGCGATTTTGACTCCTAAAATCTTGGGTAACGCTTCCTTTTACAGTCCAGTTACCCATGTAAATACTATGTACTTATTTTAGGAACTAGTACAATTACTGGGTAATAACTAGTACTACCCCTAAACCTACCCCTGTTCCATGTACTTACCTTATATTAGCCAGTACTTTCTAGGTAAGTACACTGCAAGTACTGTACTGTAAAAGGAAGCGTTACCAAATCTTGTCTTGTCGTGGACAAGACACGGTGTGATGTCATCGAGAAGGCGAAACTAGTAGCGAGTTCCGGAAACGAACGTAAACAATGGATGAAGTGGTGAGTGTTGTATTGGCTGTCCTGTGTTCAGAAAAAAAGTAAAAAAAAAAAAAAAGTTAGTTTTAATGTTAGCACCGTCGTCTATCTTTCGTTTCGCCATTTTTGAAAGTTGTGTACGAAAAAGCTTCTGTGCTACTATAGTCAACCTCATACATGTGACGGAACCGTTAAAAAAATTAAACATGCTAGTCTTTTTTTTGTTGTGATGTCGAAGCATTGCAGGCGCGACGTAGGTTGTCGCCCACTATGACACACTATACGAGATGATACGATCGAATCTTGCGTCCCGACG